AAGGGACCAGTTCTGTAATGATGGACATAAGAAGCAATCTCAGCTGTTTGGTCTTAGCCAAACTCCGAGGCTTGTACTGGAGTTACCCAGGCTGCAAGGCCTATCCTTAGCTTATTAAGGGTCAGCTACGTGCAGTAAAACAAAGAGTCTTAGTAAGTTGTAAAACAAAGAGACTTGGTAATTCGCTCAAGGTTAGCAGGATGTAGGAGCAGGATAGTGAAGTTGCAAGAAGCACGCTAAAAGTAGCAAATGTAACAGAAAGCAGAATTTTCCCACTCGCTTCTAATCTTCCAAAAATGTGTGTATGTAGCAGTTTAACACTATATATACCCTGGACCTCAGATGAATAAACAGATCACTTTATCAATCATATTGATTGTGCTGTGCTCCCTCGCATCGGGACTACATAAAGTCTCTGACAAGGATGTGCCTGGGGATAAGGGACTCGAGGCCCCGCTTCTTGTCTCAAGGAGAAGGCTCCTTTCCTGTGATGCTGAACCCTCTGCTCATTTTTATTCCTCTTCTTTGCAGACAGAAGCGTGTCCTGAGCTCATCTCCTTGCCCAGCCTGAAGGAAGTGCTGCTGGTGCCCGGGGCTCCCAAGGGGCGATGTCAGCAACATCACAATGCCCCCAGTGACATCACCGGGCTCTGGGCTCCAAAAGCAGATGCAGGCTCCAGGGGGCAAAGGTTCCTTTGGCCGAGCATCGTGCGCTGGGCTCCCCGGGAGAGATGTGCACTCTGCAGAGGGAGAGACTTGGACCCGTGGCACAGGGCCAGGATGCCCACGGGGCTGAGCAGAGCTGCTCCGCGTGAGTAAAGGCTGGGAGGCTGCACAGGGGCAGGAAAGCTTGCACAGGTTTCCTCAGGTCTCTTAATGGCCAGGCTGATGGGGAAGGAAGGAGAAAGGGAAGGGGGAGAGGAGGAGAAAAGGGAGAAGCACAGAACTGTAGAGCAGCTCCTTTGGGGGGGCCTTGCAGCAACCCCCCTGTGCGACACCCCACCACGTCAGGGCTTGTCCTAAAGCGAAAGCTAATGCCGTTGCAGCTCTTGCTCTTGTATGTGACGCTCCTGGTCAAACCTTTGCTCTTCCCAGGGCAGGACAGTGCCTGACTGCTCCGAAGCAGGCAGGCAGGAACTGGGAGCAGGGAAGCAGCGTCCCTGCGATGTACACACCCCGCTGCGCCCTGCTCTGCGTCCCTCTGGGGTCCTGCACAATGACAGACCCCGACTCCCTCCTCTGCCTCAGCATCCTGATCCTGGCTGTGGGCACCATCCTGTTCATCATCACCCGACAGCCAAAGGTAGGGGCTGCTCAGAGCCAGGGGTCACTCGGGTGGGTGCTGATGGGGTCCTCCCTGGCAGGGCCCTGTGCTCTGCTCTGTTCCCACAGGGTGACAACTGTCTCTCTCTCTCTCTCTTTTTTGCCCGTGGCAAGCGTGGGATCTGCCCCAGCTGCCCGCACTGCACCGGGGCTGCCTGGGAGCTGCAGCGAGTGCCGCTGTCACCGCCGCTGGGGATGGGCTCAGTGCCTGCACAGGACCACGGCACCTGGCAGGCAGCGGGGAGGGGGCTGCGGGCGCTGTGGAAGTGGGGCTGCCTCTCCTGCCACAGCCGCAGCTCCTCCGGCTTCTCCACGAGACCTGGCAGCCCTGAGAGCCCGACGGATGCCTGCCTGAGCCTGGACACAGGGAGCCCCGTGCGGCTGGGCTCTGCCTCCTCCCCGGGGTCCCTGTGTGCCCGGGGAGCCGGCTCAGCACTGAAGATGCACGTGGCCAGGAAAAGGCTGGAAGTGCAGCTGGGGGCCCTGCCCGTGCTGGTGCAACTCTCCCAGGAGCAGGCAGTGCAGCGGCAGGGCCGCCGTGTCCTGCCAAAGCTCATCCGGCCCGGGCAGAGCCGGCCCTTACCACGCCGCAGGATGCCGCCCTGGATGCAGGCAAAGGCAGACGCCATCGCAGGCACCATCCAAGAGAAGGAAGTCCGGAAGCTGTGGGGGGACCCCAACCCCACCGAGGAGTCCCTGAATCTGCTGGTGCCGTGCCCTCCCCCACTGCTCATGCCTCCGGCCCTGCAGCTCCCTCGGGAGCACAGCAGATGGGAGGCCCGGACCCTGGCTCAGGCCAGCGCCACGGGGCAGCCCATGGAGGGACGGCAGGAGCTGCCCGGCCAGCACAGCTTGAAGTCGCGCCTGCACGTTCCTGGTGGTGCCCTCTGCTTCTGCAGCCCAGCACCAGCCCCAGAGACCGGCACCGCTCAGAACCTCCTTCACCCGCGTGGACAGCTGCTGCAGCGGGAGCCGTTCCCGTGGCCTCGGGGCTCATCCTCAGCCCAGCCAGCCCTTCCCAAGCCAGCCCTTCCCAAGCCAGCCCTTCCCAAGCCAGCCCTTCCCAAGCCAGCCCTTCCCAAGCCAGCCCTTCCCAAGCCAGCCCTTCCCAAGCCAGCCCTTCCCAAGCCAGCCCTTCCCAAGCCAGCCCTTCCCAAGCCAGCCCACAAGGCAGGGGAAGCGGCAAAAGGACCAGCACCAGCTTCAGGCCCGCAAAGGAGAGATGTCGGCCGTCAGACCCACCTCACCGCTCCCCAAAGCAGGCGGGAGGCCAGCCGTGCGGACACGAGCCAGCCCAGTGCTTCGGTGGCTGTTCGCATCTCCAGGCCGGAGCTGAGCCAGGGGGTGCACAGCAAACTCCAGGCACACACTGCAAGGAAACGCCTGGAGATGGAGCAGCTCCGGCCCCCGGCAGCTGTGCAGGGCTCCATGGCCATGCACCGGTCCCTGCCCAAACACCTTTGGAATGGGACTCGTGGCCACGGCGCCGGCCTCAAAGCGTGGTGCCAGACAGCTCCGGTCGCACCCCAGCAGCACCGGGCACCCCTCGCCTCCCGCCCGCTGCCCAGGGCCGTGCCCCTGCAGTTGCACCCCGTGCCCGGGAAGAAGCCAGGTGGGGCAGGGCTGCAGGCCAGCAGCCGGCCCCTCGCCCCCATCGCAGGGTACCCAGGGACACAGGAGGCCCTCAAGGCAGTTCCAGTGTGGATGCCTAGGGACAGGTGGACATGGCAGTGGCACAGCCCCAGCCAGGACCAATACTGGTGGTGGCAGCAAACAGCATGGAGCCAGTTCCGCTACTCCAGCTGAATCCAGGGCAGAAAGCGCCCAGGAGGGGCCTTCAAAGTGGCCCTGGCAGGGACAAGGCTGAGAAGATGAAGGGCAGGGACCGCGGTTACACAACCAGAGTGCAAATAAAGCCTCGCTCTAGCCTGAATGCGGCAGTCGCTTTCTGTGACCTCTGAGCGGGATGTGACTGTGGGCTGGAGAGGGGGGGAGAGGAAGGGGCTCTCTCAGCCCCTCATCGGAGCACAGATGCTCCAGCCCCTTCATCTTCCTTCACTTCCTGTGTCCTGCGGCACATTCATGTCCCCAAGCACGCGTCTTGCTGGGGACAAGCACTGAAGAAACCCATCTCCAATGGCTTCATTCGGAACCACTGCATGGACACTGGCCCGTCTTAGGAATCACCCCTTGATCTTGTCTTAGCAGGCAGCTCAGCAAGGGCCAACAACCAAGACCTTGCAAAGAGTCCGAGGTCAGGGTGTGCCTGGGGATAAGGGACTCGAGGCCCCGCTTCTTGTCTCAAGGAGAAGGCTCCTTTCCTGTGATGCTGAACCCTCTGCTCATGTTTATTCCTCTGCTTTGCAGACAGAAGCGTGTCCTGAGCTCATCTCCTTGCCCAGCCTGAAGGAAGTGCTGCTGGTGCCATTATGGTGCAGCCTCTGCCCCGTGCAGGGCTCTGGGGAGGAAGGGCTGTGCAGAGGAGTCTCCCTCGCGCTCCCCCTATGACACAAAGCCGGAGGTCTCAGTGCCCCAGCACAAGAGCACAGAGCCTCAGCTCCCCCTCCTGCCTTTCCTATTGCCCACCCTGGCCCCGCGTCCCTGGAGCCCCGTGATGTCACCAGAGCCCCTGTGCCACCTGTGATGTCACCCATGATGTCACCAGAGTCCCTGTGCCACCTGTGATGTCACCAGAGTCCCTGTGCCACCTGTGATGCCACCAGAGTCTCTGTGTCACCTATGATGTCACCTGTGATGTCACCCGTGATGTCACCCGAGTCCCCAGCTGATGCCAGGAGTCTCAGAGAACTGGGAAGATTCCTACACAGTGCACCCATCCGGAGGTGAGATTTGGATTCGGCTGCAAGAGGCTCCTGCTTTTGTACCCTTAGAAACACAACGGGCTTTATGGCAGCTCTGCCAGTGTTCACTCGTGTGGCCGTGCAGTTCCTTGTGGTCACTGCGGTCCATGCTGACAGCGCTGGCCAGGTGTGAATGGTCGATGTGACGGTCACAGAACAGCAGCACCCTCCTGTTTTCCTGCCTCTTTCCAACAGATAGTCACAATGCACACAGATATTACCGAATACACTCTGTCAAACCCATACTGCTATGTGTCCCACTGTCACGAGCGGGGATCAGCTCTCGGGTAGGTTCCCATCCATCACCAGCTGTCTGAAAGCCATCAGTCAGCAAGGATGAGCGCTTTCCCCGGAGGACCCTAGTTCGGGATGGCTCGGAAGGGACCGCAGTGGGGCTCACAGCACCAGCGACCTGCCCCAGGACACGCTGCCCAGGGGATACCCGCCCCTCCCCGGGGCCAGCGCATCGCCAGGGTCCGCTTCGGAGCTCCCGTTCCCTTCGCACCGCCGCAGCCCCGACAACACCGCGCTCCGCCTGCCCTCCTTCCCGCGGCGCAAAGCACGACGGGAGCTGTAGTCCCTCGGCCGCTCCCTCTCGCTGGCAGCCGCCCCGAGGAAACTACATCCCCAGCAAGCACCGCGGCGGCGGCAGCGGGGGCGCGGTGCATCCTGGTGTATGTAGTCGCGGTGCATCCTGGTATATGTAGTCGCGGTGCATCCTGGTATATGTAGTCGCGGTGCCGCCGCTGCAGCGGGTGCTGTGCTCAGGGGAGGTTCCGTTTCTCGGCCGGCGGTGCGGGCCCGGCCCCGCAGCAGGCGGGGAGCGCCGCGATGGCGGTCGGTAAGGACCTGCTGCAGCTGGACCTGTATGAACTGCTCGGGGTCGGCGAGAAGGCGTCGGAGAAGGAGGTCAGAGCAGCGGCCGGGAGCCGCCACAGGGGGTCTCGGGCCGGGGCCTCCGTTCGGTGCCCCCCAGTTGGGAGCCGGGGCTGTGCTCAGCGGGGAAGCCGGTTTTAGTGGCGGCGGCTTTGCTGCTCTCCCTTTACCCTCCCGTTTATCCTGTCTCAGTCCCGTGGAGCGAGGCCTGGCTTCGGAGGATGAAGGGTTCGGTTGGGGAGAGCTGCAGTGCTGGGCTCGGGCTGTGTTTGCCTGCTCGGGTGCACTCGGGACGGAAGCTCCCGTGTTGACCCCGGTGCCGGTAGTTAGAGGCTGCTCTGGGTACTGCCGGTTCCCGTAATCCATGGTGTTGGCCTTGTAGGTTTGGAATTACCCCTTTCCGCTTGCTTCACCGATTAAATTAAAGGGAAACACGGGAAATGCAAGATTCGGGCAACTGAGCTGGGAACTGAGTGCTCGGGCAACTGAGCTGGGAAAGGGACGCCTGAAGGGAAGTAAAACTACTGGTAACGGAACAGCTTGAAAGGAGGTCTTGGAGTTTTCTTCCTTAGGCTTCATTTGTATGTATTTTTATCTTTCTGCAGCAGTAAAGAGCAGTAGCAGCCAGGCTGGGAGCTACAGCCTGGGCCTAACCTGAGGCTGCCTGGAAATGCCATGGGGATGAAGCCCAAAACAAGGGACCAAGCCACATGAGATGCCCAGGCCTGAAGGAGATGGAAGACCTGGGGTGACCTCAGCTTTGCTGCTGAGCTGGTCACTGAGGGGAGGGAAAGGACCTTTAGGGAGTGATGGGTGTAATTTTGAGTGTTAATCTTTGATGGAAAGTGCTTGGATCAGCCTCAAAACCCTTTGTATGCAGAGCTGCATGGCCAAAAGAGAGCAGCAAGGGGAAGCAAGGCTGCCGATGTCATTTCATAGAGCCATAGAGCAGTTTGGGTTGGAAAGGTCCTTAAGATCATCCAGTTCCAACCCCCCTGCCATGGGCAGGGACACCTCACACTAAACCATGGCACCCAAGGCTCTGTCCAACCTGGCCTTGAACACTGCCAGGGATGGAGCATTCACAACCTCCCTGGGCACCCATTCCAGCGCCTCAGCACCCTCACAGGAAAGAACTTCTTCCTTAGATCCAATCTAAACTTCCCCTGTTTCAGTTTGAACCCGTTACCCCTTGTCCTGTCACTGCAGTCCCTAATGAAGAGTCCCTCCCGAGCATCCCTATAGGCCCCCCCTTCAGATACTGGAAGGCTGCAATGAGGTCTCCACGCAGCCTTCTCTTCTCACTGTTCAGAGAAGCCTTATCTGTGCTGGCCTGTGGAATATTTCTGTTATTGGAATAGTTGTGACTGATGCACAGGAGAGTTACCTGGCTCTTAACTGCAGTCCTGCTTATGCAGGAGCGGGGATTAGCCTGGAGGGCTTTAGTGCACATTCCCCTTACAAGAGTTTTGTCCACGGGGTGGTGCTGGGCACCGAGAATTCCACTTGTTTTAGCAGAGGAATGTGCTTTGGCTATGGAAGGGAGCAGCTTTTCTTCCCGACCTTTCTTGCTCACTGCCAAGGGGGACTTAGGTTGATAACAGTGACTAAGCTCAAAGCTGTCAGTGTTTCTTTGAAGCGTAGAAGGCATTAAGCAGTCTTTGGTCAAAAATCCCTCACCTTGCCAAAGTCAATTGTACAGTGAATGGTGCTTGCTGTGGCCCAAAGGTACAGCGGAAAAAAGAGCATGGTATCCCTCTGCCTCTGTGAACCAGATGTGGCTGGGGTGATCCTGAGGTTTCACTGCTGCAGCACAATGCACGCACAAGTGAAACTTCTGGCTTTGAGAAGCTGAGACCCATTCAAGATACAGCTGCCAACGGAGTGTGCTGGGCTCCAGCGCATGTCCTCATGGTACAGTGTGATTAAAAAGGCCAAGTCGCTGCACTGAGGTTGAAAACCCAGCATTTCGGAGGTCTCTCGCTGTCGCAGTAGCCTGCTTTACCCTCCAACATAGGGGGTTTGGGGCTATCGGTACTCTACAAAGGTCTTTATTTCCGGTCAGGGCTGGAGGACATCAAGTCATGCACATGAGTGCTGGTTCAAGCACAGCCTTCTGCTTGCATGGAGAGGTGTGCTTTCAGTGCAGCTAAACCACCAACAAAGGAAACCCTCTGAACAGTCTTTCTTTCTCTCTGTAGTGTTGTTGGTTTTTATGCCCAGGTTGCTTTTCTCAACACAGAGCAATGAGTAACTGTCACCCCTGGCTCTTGCAGGTGAAGAAGGCGTACCGGCAGAAGGCCCTGACGTGCCACCCCGATAAGGACCCGGACAACCCCAGGGCAGGTGAGATGGGGCTGTGCAGACACAAACACCAGCTCGTGTCTGTTTTCACGTGTGCACGCTCCTGGAAGCAGCTCTGCTTTGCTTCAGGTCTGCCTGTGTGTCTAAGTAAGGGAATACCTGGGTACCTGTCATGTAAAGTACACACAGGCAGGACTAAGAGTTCTTCTGTCGCTGCCGGAGAGCTCTGGGTTTGGGGTTGAATGCAGTCATGTTTGCCTGGGGCCCATCAGCGTTAAGGCAGTGCTGTGATTGTATTTGCACCTCCCAAACCTTCCCAGGTGGTACTTGAAGCCCAGACCTTTGGCCATGCTGCCCCAGTGTTCACTGGCTGGTCACTGCTTTAATTCATACCTCTTAGTGAAAACCTCAACAGCAAATTTATAAATCACGTATGATAGTTGGTAAGTCATATCTATGGGCAGTGTGTGTTTTTAGCTGTTAGAGACAAGGCCCTGACTCTGCAGAGCTGAGCATACCTGAACTGTTAGCAGCATCTGGCTTGTGCAGCTTCTCTCAGTTCCTAGCTGCAGGTGGCAGTGAACAGCCGTGGTAAGGATGAAGGATGCTGTTCATCGGGACACCTCAAAATAAGCATGGTTCTGTACTTTGCATTTCCCAGTTTAACGGGCTGCAGTCCAGTAGATTGGAAGCTTACAGCTGGAATACAGGTTAAAATTTCACAAGAGAGAAACAAGCTTCTAGAAGCAGTGAGAGGAAAGCTGTGGGCTTTGAGGTGTGTAGAAGGTTGAGAAGTGATTTGAAGTGTGTGTGGAAGCCTCCAGCTTGTACGTGCAACTCTTCCAGGAAGAGGGTTGTCAACATTACTGTAAAATGCAAAGCTTGAATGCTAGGCTGCAAAGCTGTTGATGTGAAAGGGAGGATTTGATTACAACCCGGGCTTTCAGGCTGGCTGCAGGTTGAGTGATAAGCTGCTGTAGATGGGTTCTGTGGAATTCGTGTTTTCTAGGTTTCTGCTCCAATGAAATAGTCCCAGTTTTGGTTTCTTAATTCACACTGATTTATACAACCAGTGTTGTCTATTGAGGTGATCCTGTATATATCATTACACATGGTTTGGAAAGGTTATTCTTTCTGCTGTTCTGCAGGTCTCTTCCAGAAGGGAATGTCATTCCTGGCTCACCCCCAGGCCGCTAGCATGGTTCTCTGCATCTCACCCTTTTTTCTTCTAATCCCCAGCGGAAATCTTCCAGCAGCTGTCTCAGGCCTTAGCGGTGCTCACAGATGCAGCAGCGAGGGTAAGGATCCTCCCCTGTGCTGGGCACTGGTGGGGCTGCAACTTGAGTCCTGCGTTCAGTTTTGGGCCCCTCACTACAAGAGAGACCTTGAGGTGCTGGAGCAGGGCCAGAGCAGGGCAATGGAGCTGGTGCAGGGCCTGGAGCCCAAGTGTGATGGGGAAGGGCTGAGGGACCTGGAGGGTTCAGGTGGAGAAGAGAAAGCTCAGGGGGGACCTGATGGCTGCCTCCAACTGCCTGACAGGAGGATGGAGCCAGGAGGGGCTGGGCTCTGCTTCCAAGGAACAAGGGATGGGACAAGAGGAACCGGCCTCAAGCTGCACCAGGGCAGGGTTAGATGGAGCTGAGGAACAATTCCTGCCCCAGAGGGTGCTCAGGCATTGGAACAGGCTGCCCAGGGCAGGGCTGCAGGCACCGGCCCTACAAGTGCTCACACCCCGTGGAGACGAGGCCTCGGTGCCATGGGTTAGGGGTGGCCTTGGCAGTGCTGGGGTAGGGGTTGGACTGGATGAGCTTGAAGCTCTTTTCCAACCTGGTTGGTTCTATGACACCCATCCCCCAGTGGTGCTGGGCTTGTGTGGTGCTGCAGGTATGCTGGAGAGGTACTGGGAACTCTGCCTCTCTGTCCTGCTCACCTCCAGTGTGCCCTCATGAATGCAAGTCTCATCTGTTCCTCCCTGTAGTTCTCCATGAGATCATATTGTAGATGTCAGATAAGAACTTAGGCAAATGTTCTTTTTGTGGCTTGATGTGCGGGCAGTAGCTCTGTCCCTTCACTCAGGGGTGAGATACTGTCTTTAATAATGTGTTAGACTGGAGCATATCCCATTTAAAATCTGATGACCACTACATGATGCAGGGCCACATGGCATTCCCATGGCAACAGTGCATCTGCAGTTCCCTTGAAGACAAGGTCTGACAAATAAATACTATCTCGCTGTGATTGCCAAGGCTCAAAGCCTTTCCAGAGGGCACAAAGGGGACTTGTAAACAGCAAAGCTGAATCAGAATCACAGTCTCTGTCCTTCTGCTGCAAGAGCTTTGCTGCCAGATGTAGCTTGGGCTCTCTTGCTGTGAGGAAGTGGTTGAGTGCCCACTGCTTGAGGCCTGAAAGTAATCTGAATGTGTGATGCGGAGGAATAAAACCAGATAAAACCGAGCAGGTGACTATATCCAGATAAACTGAGGAGAGAAGGAATGCTGAAACTTCAGGTTATAAGATTTAAAGACATGAGGTAACTCTCCTCTGTTCAAACACTGGCAAGGTTTGTGATCTCCCTGCCAAGGGGCAATTTAGCTTTTGGCATCCAGGAGCTCTTTGGCTTCTACATTTTGAAAAGGAGAAGGTATTTAGCAAACCCCTCCCATGCAGGAAGGGAAAACACCAGCTTCTGTAGTCTATAAAGCAAGAGCAGTGCTTTCCTCTACGGCTACTCTACAAGTAAGATGTGAGCACTGTGCCAGTCTGTGCTTTGGGTAGTACAGACAGGTTCTGCGTAGGCTGATGAAGAGATTGCTAACTGGTTTAAGCAGGTGCCAGTGAAATAGCTGGATTCCCCCAGCTCTGAGGTCTCTGTAGTGCTCAATGAATGTTGGTGTGCTACTGCTGCTCAAGACTTCTGGTGCTCTTTGATCTCACACATGCATGTGAGTCTGATGCCCATCTTGTATGAATCTTTCATGGAAAACAGACCTTTTTAACTGTAAACCTTTGCTCTAAACCAACCCCGATCTGTTACGAGCGCCCCTAAAGCTGCTTTGCGCATGTTCGGGACCCCAAAGTATTGTTGCCATCTCTGAAGAAGGGGCAGACCTTCTCTCCAGTATGCTTTGCAGTTACTTACAGACTCCCTCACCCCTTCGGGCTCCATTTGGAGACCCGTGGGCCTCTTCTGATGTCCCCAGGGTATTTGTGTGAGCTTCCAGCACTTTCAGGAGCAGTGTCAGCAGGAAGCAGCAGATCTTTCCCTCTGCTTATAGTGTTTCAATGTCTGATGTGACCTTTATTCACTGCTTTCTGTTTCTTCCTCCCCCTTTACACAGTTTCATACCGTTGTGTTGTTCTTTGACAGGCGGCATATGACAAGGTGCGAAAGGCCAAGAAACAGGCTGCAGAGAGGACACAGGCACTTGATGAGAAGAGGAAGAAAGTGAAGCTCGGTAATGACATCAAACCTTCATTTGCTCTTGGCTTGAAGCCTTCCTTAGCTGGTGTCTGCATTTCTGCTGCTGCTGGAATTGGCCACGGGTTCATCTGCTGCTCGTCTGCCATGGCTGTGGCCTCCCTGTGCCCAGTACAATGCTGTAGCCCTCTGAAATCTCCTCCCCCAGCCATAGGTGGGATGGTTCTGCTCTGGGATCAGGCGGTTGGAGGACTGTAATACTGTGATACACTGGCAGAGGAGAGGTAGCAGAGCCGTCAGGGCTCTACCCTGAAACTGGTGTAGGTGTAGCCAAGTTTATTTCTTTGCATCCACCTCTGGTCAATGAAAATTCCCTTTGGATTGTTCTAATTTGGTTGCTTTCTCTGCAGATCTTGAAGCCAGAGAACGAGAAGCTCAGGCCTGTGAGACTGAAGAGGAGGAAATCAGGACAACGAGATCATTAGAACAAGAAGTAATGATAAATTCTGAAGAGTTTTCCCTGCTTCTTTTACAAAGAATAGCTGAAAGTCTTTGGTTTCATAATGAAATCCATGGGATGTGATGCACCAAATCTGTGTAGCAGACCTCCAGCCATTTGGATTAATGGACTCTCCAAAAGGGGCATGGAGAAGAGATCTTATAGCAGTCTGGCATGTGCCAGACTTGGGATGTTATCTTTTTGTCCACCCTCTTTTGCCATAGCAGACAATAAGAACAGCTAATGGGTTATATGCTGGCCGATGGGCGCTAGGAACATGAGTGGTCCGATTATGAGTGCTGGAGCTCTAGCAGGTGAACTAGCAGGAGGGTTGCCACAGGAGGTGGGTGTAAGATAAAAGCTCCCTTTGGCAGCCTTTAGCTGGCAAGAACCAGCCATGGAACTGTGCCCTCGTGCCTGTGCTGTCTCCCCTCTGCTGTAGATAATCCGCCTGCGTGAAGAAGGCTCCCGGCAGCTCAAGGAGCAGCAGAGGCTCATTCAGGAGCAGATCTGGCGTGAGAGAGAGCAGCACTTCCAAGGTGAGAGCAGAGGAGATGGGAGCCCTCAGCCAAAGTATGTGTGTGTGGGAATCCAGCTCTTCTGCAGACAGAGCTTAGGCACTGGTGCAGCCTTATCACTTGGTCACCTTCTGGATAGGATTTGCACCTTCTTCATGGCTAAGTCAAACTGCTATCTCTGGGAAGTTGCTTCCTTACAAGTTTCATGCTGCTCTTCAACACGCTGCTGCTTCTTTCCAGTAAGTACTCTGGAGTATTGAATCCAGGTGGTCTGTGGAGCCCCACAGTTATGCTGGAGTGAGCCTGAAGTCCTGCTCATCTCTCAGTGGAAGCAGTCAGTGTTGCAGACTCAGGAAGTTTGCTAAAACTAATAGTTGTTGTTGGTTTACTGCTCTGGTATTCCCTTGCAAGGTCCCAGTACTCATCACCAAAAAGAGACTCAGTGTGGAGAACAAAGTGTGGTTCAGTCTATGCTTGCTGAGGCTTTACTTTCTGGAAGTTGATTCGCTCCTGTTCCTTGAGTATGCAGTCTCCATCCCAGCCTTGGACAGGGCAGTTAGTTTTCCTCATACAGGAGGGGGTGAGAGTTTTCCAGACTCCTAGAACCTCATCCTTTGGCATACCTAAACCTCACGCCCATCCCCACCGTTCTACAGTGAATTGCCTTTTCTAGTATCCTGTGTCTGTGTAGGCTTAAAATACAGTTCTGGGTTTCAGAAAGTTCTCTTTTCTAAACTAATTACAGTGCTGCTCAGGATTTCAGTGCAATGGGAGGATTTATTTTCTCCTGCTTCCTACTGCTTTCATTCCAGCAGAGGAAGCAGCATAGGATCTGTTCCTTTCTCTCAGGAAAAATATTGATGTAATGAGTCAAAAAATAACCCCAGGGGTCCAGATGTAGGAGTTCTTTTGGGAGTCACCAGGGCACAGTCAGACACCACTGACTGTATGCAATCATTCATAGAATCACAGAAGCAATCAGGTTAGAAAAGAGCTTCAAGCTCACCCAGTCCAGTCCTTACCCCAGCACTGCCGAGGCCACCCCTAACCCATGGCACCGAGGCCTCGTCTCCACGGGGTGTGAGCACTTGCAGGGCCGGTGCCTGCAGCCCTGCCCTGGGCAGCCTGTTCCAATGCCTGAGCACCCTCTGGGGCAGGAATTGTTCCTCAGCTCCATCTAACCCTGCCCTGGTGCAGCTTGAGGCCGGTTCCTCTTGTCCCATCCCTTGTTCCTTGGGAGCAGAGCCCAGCCCCTCCTGGCTCCATCCTCCTGTCAGGCAGTTGGAGGCAGCCATCAGGTCCCCCCTGAGCCTTCACTTCACACTGAACCCCCCAGGTCCCTCAGCATTTCCTCATTCAGACTTTCTTAACTTGATTTCACATCTCAGGAACTGGGGAGGGTGTTAAGCATTTGCTGACTGTAAACCACTTTGAGATCCTTGCAATGAGAGCACACCACTGTAAGGTATTTCTTTGCAGGGCCAGATTATGCTATCTCAGGTTATGCCATCCTGCCTTTTTTGTCTACCCTTTATTTTTCCACACTTCCTCCCACCACCACAGCCCTCTTACTGGGAAAATGTTCCAGAATCAAACAGGTCTCCTGCCTGTATTTTTACTTAGCTTGTTCCAGCCTTGCTTGTGGCAAGTCTGGGCATCATAGAAGGAAAAAATGCTGACTTCCAGGATTCAGTCTGTGCTATGCTTCCTGATGATAGTGTTGCATGAGACTTTTGGGGATTAAATGGTCCAGTGTATGCCCAGGGGTGATTGTTATTGCCATATATGTGTTCTCAGGGTGAATTCTGTGCTAACTGATCTTTAACCAAGAGCCATTCATGTCCTTTCTGTGTGTTTTTTCCTTTCCCCTCTTTTTAGGCAAGCAAGAAAGAAAAGAAGCTGAAGGCAAAATAACCCCTAAACTCAAAGTAAGACATCCTTATAAGGCTGGGGTTTGGTGAAAACTGATAGATAACACAGCTTCAGAAAACAGAAGGGACACTTCAACTCTGCTGAACTGCTGTGTCCCTCTGTACAGTGGAGGTGAAGTTCCTCCACCTAGTGTGCATCATGCATATGAACAGCTCCTGTTATTGCCTTCAAAACATCCTCCCTCCCTCCCCCTCTTCTCTACTGTCTGGTTTAGATTTTTGAGCCTGAAATTGAGTTGTCTCTGCTTTCAGCACAGGGAAACATCTGCTTATTACCCTGATAGAGCCATTAGTATGCTTTCAAGTACAGTATTTTTATTCCAGTGAGCAGTGCTTCTCCCTGTTTCCCAAATAGTTTGTTCCCTGTGGATATTCTGATGTTGAGGTCACTGTTCTGGGGGTGTAACTGTAAATAGCAGATTAGGTTAACATGCAGGTGGCAGGAGCTGTTCACATGGACAAAACTAAGTTGTCATCTTTGTTTCCCAGCTCAAATGGAAATGCAGAAAGGAAGATGAGACGAGAGGGGGATACTCAAAAGATGTTCTGCTCCAGATCCTGCAAAAGGTATAAGAAAGGATGGTGGATTCTAGGAAGTTACATGCGGACTGGAGTGGGTCAGTTTTCTGTCCAGCTTTCTCAGACAATTTTCAGAAGCCATCAGCATGACCCATCAGCTGTGATCTGTTCCCCAGGGAGCACCAATGTCTCACTCCCAGCAGGGACTCCTCCTGAAACTCTTCCCTCTGTGTGGTTCATGCCCTGCATAGCGGTCAACCTGGCTGTGTGGTTATGGTGCACTTTTGCCTTCACTTAAAAGCACTAGACATTTGCTGCTGTGGGAAGTGCAGGGACAGGCATAGACAAGCCTTTGATGTGAGGAATCCCAGCAGGTGATCTTTATTTTCCCTTCATGTAAGTGTCTCCTGTAGCCCTGACTCTGAGCAAAGCAGCCCTCTTGCACTCGGGCTTGCTGGAAGCGAAGTGTGGAGCTCCATTCCTCCACACAACTATTTCCTGGAGGGACAGAAATTATGACAGCTTTGGGAGCATCATGCAAGACAGAAATGGTGACAGCTCAAGCCTCATGTCTGAGAAAACACATGTTTTCTCTTTGCTTCCATTTCAGAAATGAACCTGACATCTCTTGGGTCTGTAATTAACCTGTCTTTCTTTGTCTTAGCAGTATGGTGATGTGCTCAACTTGGTGATCTCCAGCAGGAAGACTGGGAGTGCAGTTGTGGAATTTGCTACGGTTAAGGCTGCTGTAAGTCTGGCAGAGCCCCTGGATGTGTGTGGCTGACAGTGGGCAAGAAGGGGTGCTGCAGGAGGGAAGGCTTGGCAAGCTGAGAGCCTCCAGACGCTGCCTTGTCATTAAGGCACCGAGGAAGAGTAATGAGAGTCTAAAGGTACAGATGCCTGAAGGGAGGGGCAAAGCTGGAGGCACAAACCCAGAGCGGGTTGTGCACATAAACAAGCAGGTTGTGTGTGGAAAAGGCTGAGGGAAGAGACAACACTGCTTCAAAAAGCAGGCACTGAGCTGTTTAACCAGCTCTCACTGAAGGTGAACTACCCATTGTGGGAACGGGCTTAAGGAGTTTTAGAGGCTATATCAGGCATCTGTTTCAAAGAGAGCAAAATGTCTTGACTCACTGTGAGTTATAATAATTCATGTGGCTGTGGAAACAGAAATAATCAGTTACCCTTAATTGTAGTACTTCCATTGACTTAAACTTCACTGTACAAGAGTCTCTATCCCTTGTCACCTTTCTTTCACTCATATATCCTATAATTAAAGCAACCCCACAGGGTTGTCTCTGACCCTGTGACCTGCTTATCAAAAGTACCAGCAGTGATATGTTCTATATTTAATGCAGATACAGACCCTAAAGGGTGTCCCTCGTGTAGGGCAGTTGGGAAATCAGTGTTGTTTGTGCCCTGCTTGCCCTTGATGCCAGGCTGAGATGGAATGTTATGGTTGTTGGTGACCAGGGAGGGAGTGGGGTCTGAAATTCAGGTGGATATCCTCAGTGGCTGTTTTCACTGTCAGGAGATGGCTGTGAAGAATGAAGCTGGCCTGATAAATAATCCTCTCAAGCTTTCCTGGCTGGAAGGCCAGCCCCAGAGCAGTCCCAGCACCATCCTCCCTGACAGCAGTGGTGACCCCAGGACTTCCCAGGTAAGGAGACACAACACAGGCTGCTGTTACCTAAACCTGTTTCTATAGCAACCTGCATTTCACAGTGTGCTTTGCATTGGTAGAGAGATGTTGATTCCCAGCAGAGCTGATAAGAAACTCTTAATGCAAAACCCCCTTCTCTGGTGCCTCTGACCCTTTTGTGCTGAAGCAGTGGTGTTTTAGAGGACCTCTTGCTTGAGTAGCAGCACACTGAGAGCATGAGTATTTGGATGCCTCGATCTTCACACAGTCTCTCTTCAGAGTGATGACCAAGGATGTTCCTTGCTCAGCCAAAGCCTCTAATGCTGTTCTTGTGGGATTTTTACTCATGTCATTTGTGGGAATTCTTTGGCTGATAGTGGTTGAGATGGGTCAACTAGAAGGCTTCTTTAGGGAGGCTTGGTTACTCACTGCATTCCCAAGAGGATGAAATTTCAGTGCTGAAAGGAAACATCTATTCTCAGGGTCTGCAAGATGGAAGAGAAAGCAGTTATATACCCATGTAGAGACCTCATTGCCTGGTTTTGGTCCTCTTTACCCGTCTGGCTACTTTGAGTGCAAGGTGTGTGTTAACTCAGCTGCTGCTTCTTTATTTCACAAGAAATCCCTCTGAAGCTGTTGCTCTTGAGTAGCGAATGTGTTCCAATCACAAAACACACGGAAGGCAATAACATGTAGTGGTTAAAAGATAGAAACCAGGCTGAGAAGGTGCTGCAGCAGCTTGTTGACTCTGTTACCCCTTGCTCTTGGTGGCTTTCTGGAGTGGGAGGTGTGTCTGCTTCTTTTGAAGCAGGTTATGTCACACTTTGCTCTGTAGCACAGAATTGATCTTGTGCTCTCTGCGTCTTCTGATCTAGTTAGCAGTTCTTTGGCTGTGAAGGGACCTGAGATCCTTTGCTGATTGAGTTCCAGTTCAAACTCCATGTGATACTTAACTGCATTCTTCCCTGTGGTGTAAAGATCAGAATGATCTAATTGCACAGAGGACTCTTGCCTCATGCTGTACGGGTGCCCTTACCCTGTGTCTCAATCAGCTTTGTGTGTGTTCACTACCTAAATATTTTAGCATCTTATTAGATTGTTCAGAATGAGAACTGGCTTGTTCATACCTAAGAGAGTTGCTGCTACAAGTGGAACTTGGTGGTGGATTCTTGCCTTCACAGGTTCAAAGGCACTGGTTTTAACTGGGTTGATCTTGGCTTCTTTCCATGACCAAAGCTTGTTAGTGTGGAAGTGCAGCGTCTGCTGCTGTGGAGGATTAGCTTGGTGGAGCACAAGAAGGAGCAGGCTACAGCAGCAAAAGGTGTCCATGGTGCGTGGAACTGGTGACTCAGTTCTGCCCAACACAGCCTTGACAATCCCATACAGCTCTCAAAATGGTGAGGAGCTGTGGCCAGTGACTTGCATCCTTCCCCAGGAATTGCACTGCTGATACTTGCCTGTCTCCGCTGCTGCTTTCTCTAAGCAGCTGCAGATCCTCTGATTACATTGCAGTCTTGCTGTCCACACTAAGATCTCCAAGCTGCTCTGGTTCCTACTCCAGACCCTCCCCAGATCCTGCTGCTGTTTCCACTGGGATGCTTCTGAAGTCTGTAATGTGGTGAGAGCTTGTCTTGGCTGTAGTGCTTCCACAGAATCATAGAATCAACTAGGTTGGAAAAGACCTTTAAAATCAAGTGCAGCCATTACCCCAGGACTTCCAGTTGAGTGATTCTCTGTCCTCAGCTCTTCACTTCTAGATCATGCAAAATGAGCTCTCTCATACCTCTTGCCACTGCCTCAACGTACTCCCTGCCTCATCCTCTCGTACACAGTTTGGCTTCCCAGCCACCGGGGCCACACTCTTGTGTGGAAGCTGCACTAATCTCATTCTGATTTGAGCTGCCCTCGCTTCCTATCCTCTGCTCCCTCTGGGTTGCTCCTATTTTTGTCTGAATCCACCCCCATGTTTATTCCCACTTTGTGCAGCTCCCTCCCTGCTCTGCTTCAGAAACCAGCCGGAGACCTACAGTTCTCATGGCAACACACTCACTACTCATCCATTTCTGAGCTGTGTCTGCTCCCTGCCTGGGGTAGTCAGCCAGGAGCTGAGCACCAAAGCCTTCAGCTACAGGGCAGCCACACACTAACTGGGACCAGGGGACCTCTGGAAGCAGTTTCCAGGTCAAAGCCAGGCTGGCTGTTGAGAAGCCCTGCTGTGGGAAGCCAGTAAGAGACAAGATACTGGCCTCCACGGTCTTGGCTGGCTTGTTTTCTTTTGCAGCAGTGGGTTCACATTGTCCAGCAGTTCCTGGAGAGCTGCTGGAGCCAAAGAGGTGAGTTATGCTTGAATTACAAACACTGTGGATTGGCCACTGTTACTGCAGGCTATTGAGAGCAATGACTGGTTGATTGCTGCAGCAAGTTCAAGGCACGCAGCAGCTCTACAGTGCTGTGAAGAGCATGTTTTGCCACCACACAGCGTGAAACACTTCCCATTCAGTGGGATTGAAGTGCTGAGGAAGGCCTCTGTCTGGCACTCTTGCATCTCTCCTAGCTCCTTTGAGGTTTCAGAGAGTTGGTTTCATGCTATCTGACTTTACAGCGTGATGTAAATCTAGTGTGTAAGAGCCATCTGTGCATTCTCTGCTATGCCTCTGGGCACTTTGCTGTAGCTGGCTTCCAAAGCTTGTGGTTATCTGGGGGCCTGGAGGTTTTAAGAGCCCTGGTATCTAATCTAGCTATGAAAAAGGTCAGAATTGGTGACCCAGTGATTCCATTTTAACAGTTTGCCCCAGCGCTGCCTTAAATGCTTTTAGCTTGGCAGAGCCCTTCCCATCCTGTCCCCTGGGAAGATAAAGTCCGAGCCCAGGAGAGCAGAGCCATGCTGCTTCCCCACCCTCAGAAGAGCCTCGAGTGCCACAGAGGGTACATCTTGGTGGCTACAGATAAGGGGCCTGAGCTCTCGATGCCTGGGCTCTTTCTGGCTTGCTACCAATGAAATGAGGCAACAGGACGCTTCCAGTCACAGATACATTTATTCTTCCATATCTGTACAGCTCATAGTTCAGTGCATGCCTCAAGCAGCAGTAGCTAGAGAAAGTTCTCCTGCTAGTAGGATAAATAAACTGCTGTTGCTGTATTACGAGCCTGTGTGGATGCTTACCTGTTTCCAGGCTGGGAGTGCCGACTGCACTTGAGTTAGGGGGAAAGAAACCCACAAGGAATTAAAAAAGGAAGAACAGCTTTGATTTCATTCACATCCAAATGTGGTAAGAGAAGAAAGACCAGTTTGTGTCTCTGACCCTTGCCGTAGCTACAGCTTCGAGATGCAATGCTACTGTCTCCTTGCAAGCTGGCTGCTTATCCACAGATGATGGTGCCATATCCCTTTCTGTCCGTGCTCTGCAGTGTCACAGCCGTATCCCCAAAACGAGTCTTTTGCCAAACAATGCCATTCTTCCACAAGGAGGAGATGCACAGTCAGGAGCGGGGAGTTCCCAGTGTGGAGAATGGGACCTTGCCCACAAGGTACCAGCAGACAGTGCTGTCATCTGAGCAGGGAGCCTGCGAGCTCTGCTCTGAAGAACTCTGTGGCAAGGACAGGAACAGGGACAGTCTGTGATGGGTAAGGTGAGAACAACAAAACAGGCCACACAACAGGAATGCTGCATGCTTCCTCCTGCTAGGACTGGAGAAACTGGCAGCAGCAGTAAAGAAATGGGGTATGTTAAATGATAAATACCTTCAAATGGCGTAATCTCTTGGGTTCTGTTTCCTGAGGGTCTGCAGAACATCCTCGAGAAGCGATAGCCCCAAATCCACTTTGAAGGACAGGAAGGGGTCAGACAGGTCAGAAAGAGTCGTGCTGTTCTGGGAACCTGACTCTGAGGTCCCATAGTCTGTAGCCTGGTCCTTGTGGGATTGAGTTTGGGTGGCTTTGTGGTATTGAGTAGCATCAGAAAAGGAGATGTCAGAGTGAGAATCTGTGTGGTCGATGATGTTGGGGCAGCTAGAACTGTCCAGGTACAGCCGGGGAGGCTTGGGGGGGGCTTGTGCCTTGGCTAGGTTTTGCTCACTCTGACATGACAGGTAATCAGACTTGTCCTTCAGATCTCTCAAGCATTCCCTCTTCTGGCACTGCCCGTCACTGTCCAGAGTGTGGCTGTTCTGGTTGAGGAGGATGACTTGGTTGCCCAGCTTTTTGTGTCTCCTGAGTGAGAACCGTCTGAAGAACGTTGTGGATTTAATGGACCCTCTCCGCCAAGTATCCATGCTGATGAGGGGAGCAGGAGGAAACTGCTGATTCTTCACAGTCAGGTGCTGGACTCGAGTCGCAGGATCAGCAGCAAGCGGCACAACAGGAACAACCTCTTCCTTCCCTGTTCCTGTAGCTGGAAGGAAAACAGAGAGGCTGGTATTGCAGGAAATGCAAACTTCCCACTATCTCCCTGTGCTGAGGAGCAATTGGCCTGCCTTGGCTATGGAGGAGTCTCCTTCAGTGGAGAAGGAGTCTCCTTCTTCAGTGGAGAAGGAATGGTGATGTCTGAGCTTATTAAATCTGAGCTGCAGGAACAAGTGGTGAAGAATAGCAAAGGCACACAGTCACCATGAGAACAGATTTAATCTAGCATCTAGAACAGAAGGGCACTGGGGTACCATGGTAACCAGGCACCTTCTCCATGCAGGGCACAGTATAAGAATCTCAGTGGGTGGTTGGGAAGGGAGACAGTGACTCAGTCATGCTGAAGGAAACTAAAGAAACAGTCCAAGAGGAATCTGAACCGTGACAAAACACAGGTGTAAAAGGGAAACACCAGGAAAATCGAATGTAAAACAGACTTACACTGTGGTGAAGCAGCGCCTCAGTCCAACAGGCGGAGAGGAGAGACTGCTGAAGCACTCGGAGAGCTGAGGCTGCCACGTTCACCAGCACTGGGATGTTGGAAGAAGCAAGTCCAGGAACAGTTCAGCCAGGTTGGACCCGGAATGCCGAAAATCCCCAGTGCCTCTTTCTCTTCATGTGCCTCCTGTCACTGCTCCCAGGCTGCAGTTCCTTGTGCGTGTGGATTTGTTTTGAGCCAAGCCCTTGCTGAGTCAGCCACGTCAGAAACCGGGTTTTACACTATTGGTAATTGCCAGGATTGCAGGAAGTAGGTGTGTGGAGTGGCAAAGCATCAGCCCACACGCTCCCCAGGAGAACATGAGCTCCCTCCACAGCACCCAGGCTGCTGGAGAGCTGTCACCATGGACTTGGAGCCCATCTTGCATCAGACTCTTCCTTCTCTTGGTGCTGTCCCTCCTGCCACTTCTGCTGCCTTCTTGTCTGAGCAGAGCTCCCAGAGGAGCCTGGAAATCATCTCTTGTCTGTTTTAAATGTAAATCCGGAGTGTGGGGTGGTGATTCAGGTTTGGATGGTGATTCATCTGCATGAGCCTCACTGAGCCCAGCAAGCGACAGTGTTTGTGGTTAGTGGCCAGGAACTTTGAAGCAGCCCAGTTCTGCCACTGAGGGCTGATAGAATCTGCTGCTTGCTCAGACACTCTGAAGACCTGTGCTGAGCAGTCCTGAAGGGTTATTTCATTCATGCAGCTCCTAAGATACCAATTATGGCATATTAGTCTCTTCATTTCCCAGTCTGAGCTTCTCATCTATTGTGGGCTTCTGTTTTCTCTTCCCAGCCAGACACTGCAGCTGGAGGAGCCACTTTGCTGGCACATGACAGCAAATTTGCACTTGCCCCATTTTCATGCAGAATCTTACTTAGCTGTTCTATTGCCTTTTCATCCCTTCTCTTTGCTGTTTAAATGTCCTTAAGACACCAGTAGATCTAGTAAAATGAACATGAGATGTACTACTCTTCATTCACCTTCTCTGAAGATGCTTTTATTTCTACCTGAGCTGTCAGGCAAATGAGCTGCATGTTTCCAAGCATTGCAGAGCTTTGAATACATCCAGAATAGTCAGGCCACCTACTGATGTTCAGCAGCTTCTGAAAGCAGAAAGCCAAACCCTCCACTTTGCTCTGCAGTAGCTGCTGTCATCTGCTGCCTACATTGATTAGGCAGAGTCTGCAATCAACTTGCTTGATGTGACAGTTGCCACCACACATAGAAGAAAAGGCTCCAAGAGCTTTTGAGAACTCGGCCACGCTTGGGTCAGGTTTGGGAACATCCCTGCTGGTTTTCCTCCTGCAGCCACTGCAATGACTGAAACCACAGAAGGGTTTGATGATGGTGTTTTTATGGCATTAGCCTTTGTAACGGGTGAAGTGTACACTGGACTTTGTGCCCCAGTGTTGGACCTGCAGAACAAGCTCGTCATCCAAAATAACCGGCCCCAGCGAGGAAAAGCCATGCTTCCCATCCAACCTCAGAGCAGCTTCCAGTGCCTAAAGAGGCCTACAAGGGTGCTGGAGAGGGACTCTTCATCAGGGACTGGAGTGATAGGACAAGGGGTAATGGGTTCAGACTAGAACAGGGGAAGTTCAGCCTGGAGATAAGGCAGAAGCTCTTCCCTTTGAGGGTGCTGAGGTGCTGGCACAGGGTGCCCTGAGAAGCTGTGGCTGCCCCATCCCTGGCAGTGCTCAAGGCCAGGTTGGACACAGGGGCTTGGAGCAAGCTGCTCCAGTGGAAAGGGTCCCTGCCCATGGGAGGGGTTGGAGCTGGAGGAGCTTTAAGGTCCCTTCAACCCAAACCAGGCTGGGATTGTGTGATTTTAACCTTGTTGTGAGCAGGGGGTACCTGCAGTTACAAGCAGGTAACTGGGGCTCTCAGTCGGCCCCACTCCCTGTCTCAGTGCAGCACTGTTTCCTGTAGGCCAGGCGGTTTTCACACCTTGCCCCATTTCTCTGGGGTCACACTGCTATGAGCCACCCGCCTGCCCCGGACGTTCATGGTGTGAGTGTGGTTCATGGAGGGGGGGCTGGATGTGAGCTGTCCTCAACAGTCTGGGTTTGTTTTCTGCCCCCAGGAATCGGTGGTATCAGAGCGGGACTACGAGAGCCTGGTGATGATGAGGATGCGCCAAGCAGCAGAGAGGCAGCAGATTATTGAGCAGCTCAAGCGGGAAGAGGAGGAGGAGTCTCACACCTAACGTGAGAGAGGATGCGTTCTCCCACCCCATCATCCTGCATTTCCAAAGCTGCTGCTTAATTTAAAGTCAATAAACCTCCTTTTTTTAAAGCTGGTGTAGGAATAGGGCTTGTTGCCAGGCTGAGAGAGCTGGGCTGGGGCAGCCTGGAGAAGGCTCCTGAAGGGGAGGCCTTAGAGCAGCTCCAGTGCCTAAAGGGGCTGCAGGAAACCTGGAGAGGGGCTTGGGACAAGGGCCTGTAGGGACAGGGCAAGGGGAATGGCTTGAACCTGCCCGAGGGGAGACTGAGCTGAGCTCTTAGGCAGAAGCTCTTCCCTGTGAGGGTGCTGAGGCGCTGGCACAGGGTGCCCAGAGAAGCTGTGGCTGCCCCATCCCTGGCAGTGCTCAAGGCCAGGTTGGACACAGGGGCTTGGAGCAAGCTGCTCCAGTGGAAGGGGTCCCTGCCCGTGGCAGGGGTTGGAGCTGGAGGAGCTTTAAGGTCCCTTCCAGCACAAACCAGGCTGGGATTCTATGAACGGAAACTCAGTCACTGCAGCTGAGCCAGAGGTGGGATGGAGATGGCTGTGTGTAAGTGGAGCTCCTTTTCATTCCTGAAAGCTCCTTCAGGAGCATCCAGGAGCCTTTGGCAACAACTGTTTAAAACAACCCACAGGAAGACATTGGTCTTTTCAGAGAAATGGTTTATTGGTGGTACCCCTTCAGCAGGATTGATACAGTCCCAAACCATCCAGCACTGCTGCTAGGGTGACAGACCTGTACCTGAAGTGTTCGTGAGAGCTTTGTGTGCTGCTCTAAGGCTATTTCAGGGATGATGTGTAACCCTTGAGGCTGATGGTGCTCCTGACCACTACCCCACATGGGACAGAAACCACCCTGCTACCCATGAAGGGATGCTCAGGGAGCACTGTGTAGGTTCTGCTGTTTCTGCTTGTGTTTTGGGGATGAGCTGGTTTGCCACCTGGGTTTGGCTGCATCTGTGGCCTTGGAGAAGACGTGCCCTGACCTCAGCTCAGCCCTGAGGAGCAGACAGGTCTGTATTAAGCTCCCTCCAGTGCATGCTAAAGAGGACATGATTAAAGTGTGAAGAGATGATGGTATTTGCCAGGCTGCCATTCAGCTGAATGCAGAGATGGAGCCAGCTCTTCTGTGGGCTGATTGCACTGGGCTGGGCTCACCTCCCCCTGGCCTTGCCTAATGGCAGGGGTAGCGAGGTCCCCTTGGGTTTCGTTTTGCCTCTCCCTGCTCCTCCCGAGTGCCTGGAGTCTGGGACAGAAAGGAATGAAGGGGACCGTTTGCTGCCAGTCCTGTGCGAGGTGAGCCCCAGCAGGACGTGGTCCAGGTGCAGCGCCAGAGCCTTCCCCGCTAGTCCTTGTGGAGGCACCAGACCAGGGTCTGCCCCACGCCGGTCATGCTCACCACACGGTAGCCGCGGCTCTCCAGCTTGTTGAGGACGACGCGCGGCGCATCGGTCACGTAGTACTCCCAGCTGCAGCAGGGGAGGGGAGAAACCACATCAGGGGAGGGAAGAGGGGAGACTTCCCTTGGGGAAGAGGCTCTGCCTCCATACCAAACCCACGGCCAACTGTAGGACTGAGCTGCCCATCATCTGCATGATGCGGTGTTGTGGTTAACCTGATAGAGAAGGTCAGCCTCCTCCAAGGCTGCCACCCGAGGGGAAAGCATGTCCCAAGTGGAAGGGTCATGTTAAATTGAGAAGTATTTTGGAGACCAAAGCCTTGTGCTGCTCCATTAACTGGGTTGGAACTGCACCAGAGAGGGTTCATGAGTGTTCACAGCCAGGAATTCATGGGAAAAAGAGCATAAACCTGGCAAAGTGGGAAAGAATGGCTCAGGTGTTCTAAGGAATGGAGCCCCAGTGTTCTGCCTGCGTCAGAGCATGTTGGTGAGCTGGGTGGGTTTGAGAGCATGGGCCTGGAGTTTGAGGGCTGGGGAGGAATGCTGCCTTCAGCCAAGCCCGTGAAAAGCAGGAATCCTCAGCCCTTGGCTGAGCTGCTCAGCCCCTGCAGTCCGGAGCAAGGAGGAACTGGCACTCGGGATCCTTGTCCAGGTGTTGGTCCTGCAGGATTGTGCTGGCTCCAGGGGTTTGGAGCAGGAGCTGCCTTTCCCTCTGCCTGATCCCGAGGCTGCTGCTCCGCAGGTTTGAGGGCACTGGGACTGCAGCATCCAGCAGCTGGGACTGCAGAACAGCAGAGCATGGGCACAAACCAGGCTGTGGTGGGCAAGAAGCAGCAGAGCTGAAACAGCCAGTGTGACCTTCAGTGCTGGACCCGGCAGCCTTCCTGCCCCTCCAAGCATCTCTGGATGCAGGATTCGAGCAGATGGGGTAAGGTTCAGGATAATTCAGCTCTTCACTGACTCACTGTGCCAGATAAGCTGATAATGATGGGCTGCAGCATCATTGGTGAGCTTGTTTGGGCACCTTAAAGCCCTCTACCGATTTTCTTACCAATAACAACACAAAAAGACCCAAAAGCATTCCCAAAGTGGCTCCTGCTGAGATTACAAAACGTTAATGATGTGCTGAGTCCTTTTAAAGCATGAAATAGCACCAAGATGTGAGAGGTTTCTTTTTTAGCCTCTCAGGACAGACTGTACTTTGCTGTAATTACAGATGTGGTGGAGAGATAATAAGTATTATTACAAATGCCTTTGAAGTCAGTGCTTTCTCCAGCAGCCTTGCCACATACCCTTCGGATTCACATGGTAAAGATTATCCCCATTATGCAGAGGCAGGTACGGGGTCAGGTTGTTTGGTACCTGTAGGAGCTACAGAAGGGGGTGACTGAGCTAAAAGCAGAAGGAAGCGGAGCTGCTCAGGGCTTTAAGCACAGCTCTGCAATGAGGGACACAAGGACTGCACGTGGTGAGTATCGTGTGTGGTGCTGTCCCCATCTGAATGGGGATGGAGCAGCTGGGAGCATCTGCAGAGCCCTTCATCCCAGTGGAACGCCAGCAGGGAAGGGAGGAGCCACCCCAGCTTGGAGAGGACTCAGCCCCTGCACATCCCTAGGATCATAGAATCAGCCAGGTTGGGAAAGACCTCCAAGGTGTTCACGTCCATCCATCCTTGAGCATGTTGCCCACCTGCCCTCCAGATGTGCCAGAATCAGAGACTGGATGAGTGTGCACAGGGTGGGATTGATGGGCAGGAGCATCCTCCATGCTACACCAAAGCACCAGTACGTGCTTCAGACCTCAACTGCCAGGTGCAGGTAATGAATAAGGAGGTGCTGCCTTTCATCTAAGATCAAACAGCACCAATAACGTTTCTAATCACAGCAGGCTGTGAGTGGGAAATTCAGTCTAAGTTAGGATGGTTGACTCTGTGTGTGTATGAAAGACGAATACATGTTGGGGTGGGTCAGCCTGGAGAATGCTCTGGGGAGACCTCAGAGCAGCTCCAGTGCCTAAAGGGGCTGTAGGAAACCTGGAGAGGGGCTTGGGACAAGGGCCTGTAGGGACAGGCCAAGGGGAATGGCTTGAACCTGCCCGAGGGGAGACTGAGCTGAGCTCTTAGGCAGAAGCTCTTCCCTGTGAGGGTGCTGAGGCGCTGGCACAGGGTGCCCAGAGAAGCTGTGGCTGCCCCATCCCTGGCAGTGCTCAAGGCCAGGTTGGACACAGGGGCTTGGAGCAAGCTGCTCCAGTGGAAGGGGTCCCTGCCCTGGCAGGGGTTGGAGCTGGAGGAGCTTTAAGGTCCCTTCCACCCAAACCAGGCTGGGATCCTGGGGTTCTATGAGATGCTGGGGATGGTGCCTGGATCCATCCCCTTCTCTGCAGCAGCCGGGGCTCAGGTACTTGATCCCTGGCCCTGGGCAGGCTGGGGCAGAGCCCGGATGCCCTCAGGGTGACCGAGTGCCACTTGCTGGGGCAGAGCTGCACAACCGGATCTCGCCCATTAGAGGGAAGCTCTCCCTTGTTAGAGGCAATTATGAGCTTCATCCCCGCACTGCAGGGCCCCAGCGGGGCCGCGCTGCTCCGGGCTTTTCCTTCCGGCTCCCTCCAAGGTGAGGTTGGAAGCTCTGGGGCTCAGGATGCTGCAGCAGGGCGAGCTCCGCAGTGTCCCGTAGCCGGGTTCGCAGTGAGCGCAGCCCCGCAGGCAGGGGATGGGGAACCCGCTGGGATGAGACCCAGGAGCAGGAGGTGGGACCCGCAGCAGGGAGGCGGCCGGGGCACGTCCGGTGCCTCTCGGGGTGGCAGCAGCCGCATTCCAGGCGCGTTGCTTCCTCCACCCCTCCATTGCCCAAGCACTCGATGGCAGACGCGCAGTGGGGGTGCTGCAGGTGCCCTGAACAGCACAACCTGTGCGGGCAGGCAGCGGGGCGGGAGGGAGCTCGGGATGCTCCAGGCCACCGGGAGGGAGGGAATCATAGAATCATAGAACCATAGAACAGTTCGGGTTGGAAAGGAGCTTAAGATCATCCAGTTCCAACCCCCCTGCCATGGGCAGGGACACCTCACACTAAACCATGGCACCCAAGGCTCTGTCCAACCTGGCCTTGAACACTGCCAGGGATGGAGCATTCACAACCTCCCTGGGCAACCCATTCCAGTGCCTCAGCACCCTCACAGGAAAGAATTTCCTCCTTAGATCCACTCTAAACTTCCCCTGTTTCAGTTTGAACCCATTACCCCTTGTCCTGTCACTGCAGTCCCTAATGAAGAGTCCCTCCCCAGCATCCCTATAGGCCCCCTTCAGATACTGGAAGGCTGCTACGAGGTTATGTGTCTTGGCCTTTCTTTTCCATCCCAGCCCCAGGGATTCTTGCCCTCTCCCAGGAGCCAGCCCCACTTCTTCCCCCTTGGAGCCTCTTTTCCTCCCCCAGGTCTCCCTTCTCCCATTGGCAACCTCCCAGCCCTGGGCAGGCAGCAGCACGAAGCCGCCGCCGCTCCCAATCTCCGGCCACACACAGGGTTGGGAATAGGAGCGTGGGGATGGCTCTGGCCAGGAACCCATCCCGAGCCCTTCCATGGGGAGCAGATGAGCCCGGGGCTGCCTTTGGAGGGGAACTTTGCCTTTGGCTGTTATTTATTATCTGCTGTTCCTCTGAAGCCCCTGCCCTGCTCAGGCTTTCAGTGTTGCAGGACCCGAGGATCCCTCCTCGCCTGGGTGGGTTTTCCCAGCTCCAGGAACACTGAGAGCGAGAGCCTTGTTCCTTGGGAGCAGAGTCCAGCCCCTCCTGGCTCCATCCTCCTGTCAGGCAGTTGGAGGCAGCCATCAGGTCCCCCCTGAGCCTTCTCCACAGTGAACCCCCCAGGTCCCTCAGCCCTTCCCCATCACACTTGGGCTCCAGGCCCTGCACCAGCTCCACTGGGACTACATAAACCAAAGGGTCGGTGCTGAGGGGATCTGATGGGGACTGGCTCCAACCCTGGGGCTTGGCAGCCTGAGGAGAAGCGTCAGGAGCCATCGAGGGGCAGGCTCAGATGCTTTGTAATGGGGAGAAACCTGAAACAGCCCTGGGGAGCGGGATGGGTTGGGGTAGGATGGGATGCAGGTCAGGGTGGCTGGTGGCTGGCACCGATAAGGCCACGGCCAGAGCAAGGCTGGGGTGGGCACTGCTGGCTTCTGAGTGCCTGGGGCTGGGAATGAGCCCGCGGATGTCTGTGTTTCAGGGATCAGATGAAGTCACCCAGGAAGATCCAGATGCTCCCTGCAGCTGCTTGACTGCATCCCAGGGTGTGAGGGGGAGGGAGGCCCTGGAACGGGGTCGGAGCAGGAGAAAAGAGAGAAGTAAATGAAATACCAGGGTTTCCTTGGGCGAGTGTTAATGGGCAGGGGCAGGGACACGTCTGGGCCCCACCAGCATCAAATCAGTTTGGGATGCAGTGTGCCCCGGGGGGATGTTCTCAGGGATAACAAGGAGCAGGGAGTGTGGACCATGGCAGACGGGGACTTACAAGTGGTTCCCCAGCATGTTCCTCTTGGTGGCCCCCAGGAAGCTCATCAGGTCGGGATCCGAATGCTCATCGCCCACCATGGTGGGACCGACCTCCTGCAGGAGAGCAGCAGAGCTGGTGAGGGACGTGCGGGTGAGGGAGCTCCCCACTGCTCCCCAGCACAGCGCCGGTGGGAGCCTTACTGGGATGGGGATTGCTGGGGCCACCTTCCTACCCCAGGAGAGGGCCCTGGATGGCTTTGATCCCAGAGGGACACCACGGGGGAAAGTCCATGGGACAGCAGCAAGGGACAAAATCAGCAAACCCGCCCGTGTGACAGCCCCGGTTAGGGACTGCCACAGAACCCAGCCTGGGTTGGGTTGGGGGGGAGCTTAAAGCTCCTCCGGCCCCAACCCCTGCCAGGGCAGGGACCCCTTCCACTGGAGCAGCTGGAAAAGGCACTGGAGCAGAGGAAGAGGCTGTGAAGCCCTGGCAGAGGTGCCATGCAGTGCTGCCGGGACAAGGCACCCCAGTCCATCCCCTGCCAGGCCCTGGGTGCTTTTTGCAGCCACGGCTCCAATCCAAGGCCCTGGTGGGGGTATTTGCTGTGCCCGGCTGAAGTGCAGCTTCCAAACCCCCAGTGGGGATCATGCTGAGCTCTGCTGGCCCAGCCACCCTCCTGCACACTCTTCCCTAAGGTTCTATGGCCCTCAACCAAGTGGAGCTTCCTCTGTCTCTGTAGTCACTTCATGGACTTGTATGATGCCAACGGATGCTTCAGTGCTGCAGCATCCCCCTCGCACCCAAGTCTCCGCTCTTTGAGGTGTGTAACAGGACATCTTCCCTCTCTCCCCACCCCAGCCCTCTCCCAGCTCCCACTATCCAGTCCGTTTGCTTTGCCCATCGTTACCCCCTTCCTCCCACAAAACCACATCCCCCGCCTTCAGCTTTCAGCCACAGAGCTCCCCTTTGTGTTGGGATCACGGGAAGCCCCCGGGCGAGGGGCTGCTATCGGCAGGACCTCCCGGCGGCACTCACCAGGCAGGAGCGTTTCCTTGATGTCTTTATAGGGACCACAGAACCAGGCAGGACCTTTACACGGGACCGAGGGGCTGCGCCCTCAGCCCAGGGCTCGCACCGGAGCCCCGCGGCCGCTCCTGGGACCCTGCACCGAGTTTCCGAGGTGCGTTCTCGCTGTGCATCGGGCGCGCCCATCGGCCCGCACCCTTCACGGGCACAGGGACGGGTGGAGGGGGGGGGGGGGGGGTGGTTGGGGCACCCTGGTCCTGCGGGCTCCGGGGTCGGGTCATCTCCCCCCGGCACCCCGGGGCTGCGGTCCCCGCCGCTCTCGGGGGCTGAGCGCGGCCGCCCCGTCCCGTCCCGCCCCGTCCCGCACTCACCAAGCGGATCTGCGTGCTGATGAGGACGTACGGCATCCTCCCGCTGCTCCCGCTGCTCCCGCTGCTCCCGGGGCCGCCCCCAGCGTCCCGCCCCGCAGAGCCACCGCCCCCGGGCATGGTTACAGCGGGGTCCGGGCTCGGCGGAGCCTCCCCCCGAGGGCTCAAGGGACTTGGGGAGCTCTTTATGGAACCGTCGGGGGTGGATCCCCGGGGGTGCGGGCTCTGGGAGGGGAGAGCGGCCGGGAGGGGATGGGCAGGGGGTGATGGAGACGGAGACGGGACAAGAGGTGATGGACAGGAAGGTGATGGGTCACAAGATAACGGATGGGAGACAAATGACAGGGAGATGATGGACAGGAAGGTGATGGGTCACAAGATGATGGGAAGGAGAGAGTGTACAGGGAGACAAAGGACCAGAAGGCAGTGAACAGGGAAATAATGGAAATGGAGGACTGGGAAATGAATGACAGGGAGATAAAGGACTGGGAAACGATGGAGAGGGACATGAGGGGTGGGAGGTGATGGACCAGGGGCCAGGCAGGAGCCCTGCACCCTGCAGAACATCCCAGATCCCACCCCAGGGTCCTTTCCAAACACCCCCCTGAAGCAGAGGCTTGGCATAACCAGCATATTGGGGAGGAAGTCCTTTTCTCCAGGGGCTGTTGAGGGAGTAATCCACCCCTCAGCACCCACTCGTGCAGCTTGAAAAGTGTCTATAAATCAAAGCATATTGCCATCAATAGCAAATCCTAGTCCTGGAGCCTCCAAACCCGAGCAGGAGCCTCGGCAGGCAGCTCACCAGAAGCTATGAACAAGCTGGAATCAGGGCTAATTCTGCTGTTAATGGTCAGAAGTAAATGACCGCAGGAGAAGGATGTTCCCGGGTGGATCAGGCTCTTCCCATGGGACCAGGGCCAGGCCCTCTGTGCTCCCCAGTTACTGATTAACTCCAGCAGGGAGCAAATGGACATGTTGGCTCCTGGGCTAAAGGAGACGCTCACCAAAGCCAGACCTCACTCGCCACTGCTGTTAATGTTGTTATGAGCCTGTTTGTTGGGTTTGGTGTGAGTAAGGGAACAACCAACACAGGCTGATGGCATCACCTTCCTCAGACGTGCCCTGAACATCCCGTGTGTTCATTATGAGCTGAGAGGGATACCTTGTGCCATGGGTTAAAGATCGGCTCATTGGGATCATTTCCACCCTAAGGAGGGTTTTCCCCAATCCCTGCTGTCAGAACAGCCCAAATATTTACTCATAGCTCTTGTTTTCCAGTGTAAACCCACGTTTGGCCTCTGGTGCCACCACTGAACACGATGCTGACTGACCCATGCACAGGAAACGCTGCCTCCTGTGCAGTTCACCTGGGTTCTGATGGATTCCAACGTGATCCCAACATCCACAACCCCTTTGGATCCCCCCCTGGGCAGCCTCACTGCGAATCCCAGTGCTGCAGAAGAGGACACGGATACAGCATCCAGAGCCTTCTCTCTGTCCATAAATGACACTCACTAATGGGCAGCGTGCCCAGCTCCGGCTCCTTCTTGGGAAGGGGGAAATGAGAGCGGAGATGGAAGCAGAAGCTGCCACAGAACTTCAGTATTGAATTTCCCAGTGAGATTCCGGGATCTGGGAGGCAGCCGGAGCCCTGCAGCCGTGTGTGAATGAGCTGTAAAGCACAGAGCAGAGCATCCCAGGGGTACCATCCATCATCCCAAAGCGAGTTACTGCCCTTCTCGCTGGCTCCGACCAGGCTACGGCCTGAAACAGGGACCAGGAGAGCTGCTGCTTGGGATCACTGCCAGAAACCGGGATAGAAGCAAGCAAAAGGTTGTTTGGCTCTGCAGAAATCGTCCCCCTAATCCCAGCCTTATGAGAGGCAAGTGGGGTTTGAAGAGCTTCATTCTGCCTCTGACACGTTTTGGGGCAAAACATCATCAAATATCATGGGAACTTCAGACCCAGTGGGGGTTTCTGCCCCTTCTACCCCCCGGCACGTGCCTCTTTTCTGCTGGTATAAATGGGTTAAAGGGAAAACTCCTGGTTTTCCCGGGAATCATTCCCTTGGCAAGGCTCGTTCCGATGAGGTTCATTGCGCGTGGCAGGGAGCAGCAGCGCGGCTGCGGCGCTGGCTGTCAGATACCATCTTTAATATCCGCAGGAGCAGGATGCTGCCGGGCTGCGCTCCCCAGCCAGGAGCACGAGTACAGCCTGTGGCTCCTCCACCCCCATCGGGGTCTGTCACTGCTGCAGCACCTCTGCGGCTGCCGCTTGTCAGCTGGCAGGGACGGGCACAGGTCATAAAGCGAAGGCAGGGGAGGAGCCAGCAGCACTTGGGGTGTTTCTCCCAGTACCCCCAGAACTAAAGCCCAGCACCCTGTGGTTTCAGCGCCAGGCACAACCGCAGTGCAGCGACAGCCGTGTTGGTGTGCTGGGGCTGTAGCTCGGGGCTGTAGTGGTGCTGCTGCAGTGGTCATTGAGGCTGTGGTGCGGTTCTGGGGGCTGTGTTGCTGTGGTGGGTGCATGGGCAGGGGACCAGACGCAAGTGGAGGTGGAGGTTCGGGGGGGGTGTAAGTACAGGTGCAGCTGTAGGTGTACAGAGAAGCACAGACAAGTGTAGGAGCAGACACAGCTCCAGGTATAGGAGCACATGCAGCTGTAGGTATAGATGCACATGTAGGTACAGGTGCAGATGCAGTACAGATTCAGCTGTGGGTTCAGGTGTAGGTATGGGTTCAGCTGCAGGTGTAAGTATTGCTGTAGGGATAGGTGAAGGTGGAGCTGTAGGTGCATGTAGGTACAGTTGCGGGAGCAGGTGGTGCTGTACCTCTAGATTCAGGCCCCGATGTATGGTATGTACAGGTACTGTTGTTGCTGTAGACGTACAGCTACTGTTGTAGCTGTAGTTGTACAGGTATTGTTGCAGCTGCAGAGGTACCGCTACTGTGACAGTTGCAGATGTACCAGTACTGTTGTTGCTGTAGCTGTACCGGTACCGTTGTAGCTGTACCGGCACTGTTGTACCTGTGGTTGCAGCTATAGGCGCAGGTACCGCTGCTGTTTCTGCACGTAAAACCCAGCTACCACCCGGGCGCCCACGTGACGCGGCCGAGGCCCCGCCCCGGGGCTGGTTGATGACGCCGCTGCACGGCATAGGCCAGCTCTGTGATGACGCCATCGCAGCGCGCCGGCCGAGGCGAGGGAAGGCAAGGCGGCCATGGCGCAGCCGGGTCCCGCTGCCGGTACCGGCCGGGTGGCGCTGGCGGTGGCGCTGGGCGCGGCGGGCGCCGGGCTGGGCCTGCTCTGCGTGCTGAGGCCGTGGCGGCGGCGGGCCTGGCCCAGGGGCAGCGACCGCGAGGAGCCGGCGGCGGAGACCGGGCGGAGGAGCCACGGTAGGAGACGGGGCTGCCGGTTACTGCTGGGCTCCGTGCGGGGCCTGCTGCTGCCCTGCGCCGGGCTGAGGCGTGGAGAAGGCCCAGGGGGGACCTGATGGGTGCCTCCAACTGCCTGACAGGAGGATGGAGCCAGGAGGGGCTGGGCTCTGCTCCCAAGGAACAAGGGATGGGACAAGAGGAACCGGCCTCAAGCTGCACCAGGGCAGGGTTAGATGGAGCTAAGGAACAATTCCTGCCCCAGAGGGTGCTCAGGCATTGGAACAGGCTGCCCAGGGCAGGGCTGCAGGCACCGGCCCTGCAAGTGCTCACAAACCCTATAGAGGAGGCCCCAGTCCCATGGGTCAGTGGTGGCCTTGGCAGTGCTGGGGAATGGTTGGACTGGAAGAGCTTGAAGGGCTTTTCCAACCTGGGTGATTCTAGGATTCACAAGAGCTGCTCTAAGGCTTTAACTCTCCTCACCCACTGCCAGGTTTGGAACTGCAAAAAGCTGCCCCAGGAACCACACTGGATTTATTTACGTGCAGGAGCAGGACTTGGTGCTGGCGCTGCTCAGGCTCTGAACTGGGGCTGGTGGCACCAGCACTGAGCAGGAACAGAGGAGCTGTGGCTGCCCCATCCCTGGCAGTGCTCAAGGCCAGGTTGGACACAGGGGCTTGGAGCAAGCTGCTCCAGTGGAAGGGGTCCCTGCCCGTGCAGGGGTTGGAGCTGGAGGAGCTTTAAGGCCCCTTCCCTCCGAGACCATTCCATGAGGCACAAGCATCAGGTGTTCCCCTTTAGCATTGTGTATAGTGCAGAGGGGTGGATTTCAAATGATTTTACTTTTAGGAAGAGCTTCTATTTGAAACTCCTTCCTGGAGTGTCTTTGGTTTGTCTTTGCTGCTGCATTAGGGCAGGAGTAGTTCGTGCACAGTGTTTTAACCTGTGATCTCACACAGCCACCTTTGAGATACTCATCCTGTAATGTTTTCCTGCTGCACCCCCTGTAGGATGAACCACACAGAGGAGCAGATAGACTCGTACAGCTTCGATAGGTTGGTACCTGTGGCTGCAGTGAACATCTGGCCCTGGTTGTTGACCACACGTCTTAGAAGGAATCAGTTTGTGCAGTTGAGCTTCACCTGAACCAGCAGCTCCTGAGCAGAGCCAGGAGGATGAGAGCATTAATTGGGCTCTGCTGATGGGAGAACAGGAGCAGAGACAACTGCTGCCCATGCAGGGTGGGTGGTGGGGAGAGGTTCTGGGCAGCCCCTTCATGAGAAAGCAGCAACAGAAGTGTCCTGAGATGGGGAAAAGAGACCAGGGGAAAGGTTAGAACCTCGTGCGGTTGACTTAAGAGAGTCTGGGGTTTTATCTCTGAGGCTAGATGCATTAACACAGGGTACTGTGGAGGATCAACCCTTTATGTCTGCAGATCTGGCTGCTCTTTGAGGAGGATTCTCTTTCTTTTTGCTGTTGATATAAAAAGAGTGTTCTTTCTTAACAGTTGACTTATCTAGTACTATCTGAAGGGGGCTATAGGGATGCTGGGGAGGGACTCTTCATTAGGGACTGCAGTGACAGGACAAGGGGTAATGGGTTAAAACTGAAACAGGGGAAGTTTAGATTGGATCTAAGGAAGAAGTTCTTTCCTGTGAGGGTGGTGAGGCACTGGAATGGGTTGCCCAGGGAGGCTGTGAATGCTCCATCCCTGGCAGTGTTCAAGGCCAGGTTGGACAGAGCCTTGGGTGCCATGGGTTAGTGTGAGGTGTCCCTGCCCATGGCAGGGGGGTTGGAACTGGATGATCTTAAGGTCCTTTCCAACCCAAACCATTCTGTATTTTTGTATTTACCTATAATATTTATGAGCTTTCAAGAAAACCTATTTAAAGTCCCCAGGTGTGAATCCATTCTTCCAGGCTGGTTGCTCACACTCTGCAAGAAGGTTTAAGGATCAGGCAGGCTGATGAGGTTTCCAGGCACTCAAAAGTGGGCAATGCTGTATTTTAATGGCTAAACTTCTCTCTGAAGTGTGATGTCTCCTCTTTGGGCTCATGTAGGGCTTTTCCTTGAATAAGAATAGAGTTGTTTGGTTTAAGAGTAGGGTGTTTCGGCCCAAGTTAGCTTCCATTCTCCTTCTCCATTGCCCCAGTTACCTGGCAGGCTGGTTGCTTCTTGACTTGTGGCCTCCTGGGTTCACTGTGGGTCAGGAGGAAAGCACAGTGTGGTGTTTCAGTGTGATGTTAGGACAGCGGTGTGGAGAACAGGAGTTGAGGAAGGAATCTTCAGTAAGGACTTCAAGCAACCCAAAAGTAGCTTGTCCGTCTGCAGACTCTTTGTGATGGTCACTGCATTTTGGTGGTCGCAAGGAAGTTTTACAAGGGATTCTTGTGGAAGTGTACTTCCAAGAGCTTTGTTTGCCCCTAGTTGCTATTGCAGATCTCTTCAGTGTGGATAGAGGCTGGTGTCAGGCAAGGGAGCTGCAAAACAGTTGAAGAACCCCAAAGGTCAGGTAGGCAACAGTGCTTGAAATCGGGCCTCATCCTCCACCTCCTGAGGACAAAATGTGCTACCATTTCCCATGTGAAATCCCTTCCCTTTCCCCTCTGCTGAGCTTCTCCTGTTTCCTTTCAGTCATGGCCAGAGCTCTGGCTCCTGTGGAGGCAGGCGACAGTGCTGTGTACAGACCTTTCCCAGCCCACGATGAGCTGGTGGATGTGCTGGAGCAGCTTGACTTCGTGGTGAGGAGCCTGTCAGAGCTGAGGAAAGAAGTGGAGGAGCTACGGAGCAGCCTGCAGAGCCTAGCTGCAGAAATCGTCTGTGAGGTCAGGTATGGATCTGCCCCTCGCTGACTTCCTCTCCTCGTGCACAGGTTTGCTCCATAGCATGGCAGAACAGCCGTGAGTATGTTAACCCTAAAAGCCAAAAGTGGAGAAAGTGTCTTTCTGGTTTCCACTGGGATTGTGTCTTGACATCCAGTGAGATTAATGGAAAAAGCCTGTGTATTCTGTCATGGTTGGCTTTTTTCTCATAGAATATCAAGTAGAGACACTGGCTTCTTGTTCTGAACTGGAAAGGTTCCTTGTGGTGTGAATGTTTGCTTCTTGCTATTGCTGTCTTCTCTCTCCTGCTGACTATAGTAACTTTTGATACAGGATAAAAGGTGCTGTGTTCTGCAGGGTGTTTGAGGATTCCTTTGCCTGTTCCCTGGTGAAATCAGGGGAGTGGGTGTGATACAGAGTCACAAAGTGGTTCCAACCCCTTCCACTGGAGCAGCTTGCTCCAAGCCCCTGTGTCCAACCTGGCCTTGAGCACTGCCAGGGATGGGGCAGCCACAGCTTCTCTGGGCACCCTGTGCCAGCGCCTCAGCACCCTCACAGGGAAGAGCTTCTGCCGAAGAGCTCAGCTCAGTCTCCCCTCGGGCAGGTTCAAGCCATTCCCCTTGGCCTGTCCCTACAGGCCCTTGTCCCAGGCCCCTCTCCAGGTTTCCTGTAGCCCCTTTAGGTATCACTGTGTGTGGATGGCACACATGGATTGTATCTGGACCAAGGCTGTGCTCACTGTAGAATATGACTCTTGGTGTGTTACAGGAGTAAGTCACATTGTGAATTCTGTGTAAAGTGGACTGGATAGAATCTGCTTAAAGGGAGAAGGAAGTGAACCAGCAGTCATGTCCCTGTCTAATGATCGTTTGTTTCTCTTTCTGCCCTCCTCTTAGGTCTCACCTGGAAGAAACCCAGAAGGTTTCTCGCCGGAGGCGCTTTCCCTTTCCCAGAGAAAGAAGCGATTCCACGTGCTCCAGTTCCATTTATTTCACAGCCAGCTCAGGAGCAGCCAACACGGACGATGGGGAAAGTGAAGGAGGGTGAGCACAGCAGCAGGGCAGGAGCAGCTCTCAATAGTCTTGGGTGCCCAGTTACCTGTGTGCAGTTTCTAACATAAAGGAAGGGATCTATTTCCTCACTAAATGTCTGACATCCTGGTTTTATTTGCTTTTATTGCAATAACTAAAACTGCCAGGGCCAGATTGAGAGAATTGCAACAGTCCTGACTGAGAGAAGCAGGGGAAGGAAAAAGCCCAATCAGATACAGGTTTTGAGGCTTTTTCTTCAGCAATAATTTGATGAGAGAAGCTTTTAGAAAGAAGGGAAGTAGAAATCCAGCCTGGGGCTGGAGTGAGAGTTTAGAAATAACATTTCCAGGCAGTAATATATTTTTGAGTCCCTGGAAAACTTAAAGTTAAAAATCTGTTCCAATTAACTAAAATCTTCAGCCTGGAGAAGAGAAGGCTCCTGAAGGGGAGACCTTAGAGCAGCTCCAGTGCCTAAAGGGGCTGCAGGGAACCTGGAGAGGGGCTTGGGACAAGGGCCTGTAGGGACAGGGCAAGGGGAATGGCTTGAACCTGCCCGAGGGGAGACTGAGCTGAGCTCTTAGGCAGAAGCTCTTCCCTGTGAGGGTGCTGAGGCGCTGGCACAGGGTGCCCAGAGAAGCTGTGGCTGCCCCATCCCTGGCAGTGCTCAAGGCCAGGTTGGACACAGGGGCTTGGAGCAAGCTGCTCCAGTGGAAGGGGTCCCTGCCCGTGGCAGGGGTTGGAGCTGGAGGAGCTTTAAGGTCCTTTCCAGCCCAAACCCCTCTGTGGTTCTATGTGAATGTCTTTAGCTAGGGTACTTATGGATTCTTCTCAGTGTGTCACGCTTACTTCACTGTTGCGTTGCTGAAGTTCTTGTAGTTTAATAAGAGGTGAAGAGTACTGTGTAGTTCAAGAGCACTGGTAAAAATCACAGTATAGGTGAAGTTGCTGTCATAGGAGATAGATATTGAGGTCTATTGCATAAACAGATGTGAGTGCTGCCTTTCTGATGAAGCACTGCTGTGTATTCATCAGATGGATTCCAGAGCTCCTGAGATGTGTGAGGATGCGCCAAAACATGCAGCACTCTACTTGTTCATGGCCATGTCCATTTTCCCAGGGGAGTTGAAATGAGCATGATGTAAAGAGAGAAGGTAATTACAGCACAGGGCAAGGCAGGCAGGATTTGGGCATGATGTGCTGTCCGTTAGCAGCTGAATGACCAGTGAGCTGGTGCAGGCTGGCACTTGGCAGCAGGGGTTTTTCAGTGGGGACAAAGCAACCCTTGCTGCAGCAGCCTCTGGAACAGAGCATGCTTACTGCCGGAGAGCAGGGGTTGTGACTGCCAGAACTCATGTCACTTTGGTGTTTTATCTCTAGTAATTGGAACTGGTGAAGCAGGAAAGAGCTGCTGTGAGCTCATTCAGCTCTAGAAGGGCTTCACTCATCTGAGTGGGTGTTGTATGAAAGCAGATTTAGGGAACAAGTGATTCACGGTGGTGTAATAGGTAACGGGGCTGCGTAACGTCTTACAGTGATGGAGCTGGATCTGAAGGCAGGACTTTGCTGTGTAGGTAATAACAGATGCATTGAGTCATCAGGGTGCCAGTGTACTTTGTAAAGGTTGTTGAAAAGGATGGACTTTGCCAGCAGATACCAGCCCGTGGTGTTGTCTGGTCATGAGAAAGTTTTAAATCATGATAGAGGCCAACAGCAAGTCAGAGGTTCAGAGTTTAATGACCAAGGTGGAGAATTGGTGGATAAGCAGCTGTCATATGATTAAAAACCCCCAAATTGAATAGTATATAATTTCGTGCTCTGGCATTTGTCCTATACAAATAGGTATAATATTAAGTTTGCTCAGGACCAGCTGCCTTTGTTACTCAATACTGTCTTTTAGAGATGTAAATACTGACATTTTCTAGTGGAAAATCGAGGTGGGAAATGTAAATTTTGGAATTAGCAGCCTCTGGGAGGAAGGATGAGCCTGTTCCCAAGAGCTAAATTCCAGCTCTGTATTCATTTCTGGCAATCCTGTTCCTTCAGTGCAGTTCAGAAAGAGGACCTCGGGTTTCAGCTTTACTTTGTAAACCACACAGGCACAAGCATCTTCTCTGTTTCTTATACAAGTCATGGGAATTGTCTTGAGCTTTCAGGAGTCCAGAGGTCTTGGATGCTTAATTCCCCACCTTGCTCTAACACCACATTGCCCTTTTGAGCCTCTTTGCCTCCTCTTCCTATGGGCATTTTGTTCCAGGTAGTAGGTTTAGTTTTCATCAGGATGGGTGCTCACCAGAGGCCTCCACTTACTAAAGCATTAAGAGCTTTCCATCATCATAAACACAGGAAAAGAGGCCTGCTAACATCTAAATCCCTCAATCTTTCTGAAAACTGTGTTTATGAGGTTACATACAGCATTACTTGTCTTTTTAAACTGGCAGCATCTTGTCTGAGCTGTCCTGGAGGAAACACACTTTGGGGGTGGATGAAAAAGCCTATAGGAGCCACGTGTTGCTGCCTGGTTTCAAGACCATGTTGTGTGTCGGAGCCTTCAATGTGGAAAGTGTTTTCTAGCTGGAGCACTGGAATCTTTGCAGCTGCCAGTCGAATGTAGTTATACAGTGTCACAGCTGTGCTGCATCATCGGTTAGGGTGGGACATAAGAGTCTGAGGAGTTTAAGTATCAAAATGAGGTGGTCCAGAGAACTAATAATATCATAAAAAAATACCAAGAAGTGAGGTTTGTAATCTGAAATAGAGCCCTGCCAGTGTCACCTACCACTGTGCAGCTGCGTTATCCATGGATTTAGTGCTGCCTACATAATCTGCAGCAGGGCACTTGGTTTCCTGGTATGCCTAACTTTTCCTTTATTTCTTGTCTTAAAATGTTTCAGTACAAAGTGTGTGGTTTTCAGTTTATGGATGAGGGTTGGAGACTGTGGGCAGTGAGGGTGTTCATCTACCCTCTGTCAGAGAGGGAGATGCTTGAGCATTATTGATGGTTCTCAGAAAGCTGAAGCTTTGATAGCCAAATGTGTCTTGTTATCTGTGTGTGGCCAAACTGCTGTGGCTGCTTTCTTCAGATAGCCACTTGGGTCCCATATCTTTGTCTCCAGGCGAAGGCAGCTTCATGCCCAGAGCATTGGGCTCTCCCTTCAAGGAGAAATTCAGCTTGGACAAAAGGGAGAGCACCTTTTGGTGCTTTCTATATATATACACACAAGGCCTTGGGTGCCATGGTTTAGTGTGAGGTGTCCCTGCCCATGGCAAGGGGTTGGAACTTGATGATCTTAAGGTCCTTTCCAGCCCTAACAATTCTATGATTCTCTCTATACATACACACAAAATATACATATATAAAAATATAAATATATGTTATATTTTAATTATTATATAATTATGTTATTATAATTATATATAATACATATAAGCTATATAGTCTAGAAATACATATTTATATATTTTTATATGTATTATAAATCTTAAATATTTATATCTATGTTTTTATACTTATGTGTATAGCCTACATTACTTACAACCCAAACAGAACTGTGCAGAGGTGTTTGTAACTGAAACTCAGTACATGCAAGTTCTATTAATCAATCTAGTTTCCTTCTCTAGAGAGTGAGGTTAGTAACCAAATGCCCCCAGACTTTGAATTCTAGCAAGACTTGTGAAATTGGCTTGGGCACTGTTTGGTTGGGTAACAATTGCAGGCATCCCCTAGAGTTAATCACTGATGGGATTTGAAGTAGCCTGCTTCAGGAAGAGAGCTTCCTGTGAAGATAAAACCAAGAAAATACCAATGTAAAAGTGCACTTGCTTAAGTTGCTGGCTGAGTTGTGCTTATTCTTCAGTTAAAACTTGCAGGTAAATGTGAGTGGGACAGATAGAGAGTCTCCTTTAAAAAGAAACTAGTTCTGTAAGTAGACAGCCTGCAGCAGTGGTATCAGTCATATATAATGGTGATTTAAATTTCCAGCTTATGTGCCTGTTTATGACTTTGGGGAGCTTAATTTTAGCCACTTTGAGAAGCTTTGATCTTGGCTTTATCCTGGTTCCTTTGCCTAATTGAGCAGCTTATCATTGCCTGGGGTTCTGTACATGTGCTGTCTTTTCGTGGCTCATCTGCGCTCTCCTTCCTGGATTTCCTGCTCATGTGAAACAGTTGTGCTCACTCTCCTGCTGTTTTGCACCTCTTCATGTCAGTGTGAACAGGCTGTTTCATACTGAGCATTCAGACAAGCTGGAGGTACCAGATCCTGCTAGAACAGCTATTGTGTCTGGAATTCCCTGGAACAGGCAGAAAACATGAGGTTATGTTTTCCACATGGATGAGCGTGTTGGATTTTCAGTTGAATTTCTCTTTTATGATCCACACACTGAACTGAATTGGCCTGGCTCTGTTCTTAGTTGGTTTAAGCATTTTACATTGAGGATAGAAGGCCTAAGAGTGGCTGTTATGCTGTGCACGTGAGAAGTGGGTGCTTATGAGCGAGTTCTGCTTAACTTCTTGGGTCTACCCTATTCATTTTGTTGAGGTTGTGTATATTAAGAATCATAGAATCATAGAACAGTTTGGGTTGGAAAGGACCTTAAGATCATCCAGTTCCAGCCCCCCTGCCACGGGCAGGGACACCTCACACTAAACCATGGCACCCAAGGCTCTGTCCAACCTGGCCTTGAACACTGCCAGGGATGGAGCATTCACAATCTCCCTGGGCAACCCATTCCAGTGCCTCACCACCCTCACAGGAAAGAACTTCCTCCTTAGATCCAATCTAAACTTCCCCTGTTTAAGTTTTAACCCATTACCCCTTGTCCTACCATATTACATGAGGAACAGTGATTGGTTGTTATTTGTGACACTGGACTGTGAAATGTTCTCCAGGATGAACTAAGGTACTCCTCTTCCTCTATTAGGAAGAGTTGGTTTTCCCCATCCCAGGTGTATAAGCCTGTCACAGGCTGCAGAGCATCTCCTCAAGCTGATTCTGCCTTGTGGTGTTTTATCTCAAAGGTACAGCACAGCCAACGCTGAGTCTGATTACGACCGGGAGTCTGAGAAAGACAGCGAGGAAGGGGAAGATGAAGTGAGCTGTGAAACAGTGAGAACTGCACGACGGGATTCCCTGGATCTTGTCAACGAGGATGAAACCCATTTAGTCCTGGATTCCTTCCTGGAGGAAGGGCTGGAGCAGCTCCTGCAGCAGGCTGACCGCTTGCACAGCGGGGATGAGCAGGAGAAGAGAGAGGGGTTCCAGCTGCTGCTCAACAATAAGCTGGCGGTAAGGGTTGCTCTTTGTATTCTCAGCAGTGATTTCAGCTGAAGAGGAAGAGGAAATTGTATTTCTTAGCAGGGTCCTGGTCCTGCCCAGCAGCTGGGCCAGCTTCCAGTGGCCCCCTCCTCAGGAGCAACTGGGGAGTGGGCTGAGGGCCAGAATTGTTCAGGCTCCAGCAGCCAGTTCCCAGTCACTTTCTGCCTTGGAAGTCTGTGTCTCATCATGTCATCACCTTCCCTGAGAGAGCACAGTGCACATGTGTAAAACCATAGTGCTGCGTGTATACAGTGAGCAGATGTTTTGAGGACCTTTATCTTGTTGCACGTGCAGTGGCTTAATCCATGTTCAGGAAGCTTGCCCTTCCGAAGGACTGCCCAGGCATGTGTGCTGGTTCATGAAGTAAGTAAGTTGCATATTCAGGCAGAAGGCTTAGGTGACACTTATGTATATATTAGTTAATGAGATTAAAAGCCTGGAGTGTGCCACCTTAAAGAATGGGTCTTTTTTATCATGTAGGTGATGTACCTGCTCTTCCCTGTGAGGGTGCTGAGGCGCTGGCACAGGGTGCCCAGAGAAGCTGTGGCTGCCCCATCCCTGGCAGTGCTCAAGGCCAGGTTGGACACAGGGGCTTGGAGCAAGCTGCTCCAGTGGAAGGGATCCCTGCCTGTTGCAGGGGATTGGGACTGGAAGATCTTAAGGTCCTTTCCAACACAAACCATTCTGTGATTCTGTGTGAATTGATCCCCTGGTTTGGTGAAAGCTGGTGCTGAGGAATTCGGCAGGAATTGTTCCTCAGCTCCATCTAACCCTGCCCTGGTGCAGCTTGAGGCCAGTTCCTCTTGTCCCATCCCTTGTTCCTTGGGAGCAGAGCCCAGCCCCCTCCTGGCTCCATCCTCTCTGTGCACTCCAGCACCAGTGCAGGCATGTCCGTGCCTGCTGCAGCCCCTATGGGAGCCCTGGTTGGGGTTTACTGAAGTACTGCACAGCCAGCAAAGGAAATGTTTGTGTTACCAGCTTTCTAAAGAGCAAAACCTCTTGGCTTCTGTATTTTCAGAAGGAATAAAAGGGGAGAAATAACAAAGAACTTGATCAATTCTTGTTTCAAGTAGGTTGGGTTTTTTCCTTCCCACCAGGAAGCAATGACAGGCCTGTGGGCTTCTCAAGTTCTCCTGTTTGCTTCTTTGTGATGATGCTCCCACTGCAGTTTATTTCCAGTATTGTCACAAAAGAAACCAGACTGTTGGTGGTCGTGTTTTCATTTTCAACACTTTTTTGGTTTTTTTTTAAGTAAATTTGAATTTGTCCGAACATGCATGCTTCAAATTTAGCAGAACACCTCCAGTACTGCCCCAGGTTTCAGGACAGGGCAGGATGGGGAACTGCTGGAGCAGGCACTGAAGCATGCAAGACATAAGGTTGAATTGTGATATTTAATCAAGAGGTGAGCTTTGGGGTGAGTTTTTGCCTGGTGTGTTGAGGTGAGTGGAGCTGCTGGAGACCTGACCCCAGTATAGCCTCCAAGTGGAGGGTTCCTTGCGAGAAGGCAGCAACAGTTAGACCTGTACCAGCAGTGTCGCATTGTGAGATAAACTATAAATGTGGCCACCCAGCTTGGTTTTGTGGTGCTGTTCTGGTTCTTGTAGACCTGGGGCCTTTTAAGGTGTCGAGAATCATCTGTGTGACTTCCAGTATATGCCCCCCTTTGGTTTTTCTTGCTCAGTGGCAGAATGGATCTCTACCCGTAACGTTTATGCTTTCACTGCAGTATGCAGAGCAGAAGGACTTCCTCTGGCGCCTGGCCCGGGCACACAGTGATATGTGTGAACTCACAGACGACGCAGATGAGAAGAGATCCTACGCAGCTGATGGTGAGGAATTGTGTGCTTGAGGCAGAGGGAGGGGGATGCTCAAAGCTGACATGACACCTCAGAGGTACAGACCCTGCACTTGCAAACAATGTCATGCACTTATTTTCCCTGTAACCTTTTTTTAGGTTTGTTTCTCAAACCTTTTATCCGTATCATAGGATCCCAGACTGATTTGGGTTGGAATGGACCTTAAAGCCCCTCCAGTCCCAACCCCTGCCACAGGCAGAGACCCCTTCCACTGGAGCAGCTTGCTCCAAGCCCCTGTGTCCAACCTGGCCTTGAGCACTGCCAGGGATGGGGCAGCCACAGCTTCTCTGGGCACCCTGTGCCAGCGCCTCAGCACCCTCACAGGGAAGAGCTTCTGCCTAAGAGCTCAGCTCAGTCTCCCCTCGGGCAGGTTCAAGCCATTCCCCTTGGCCTGGCCCTACAGGCCCTTGTCCCAAGCCCCTCTCCAGGTTCCCTGCAGCCCCTTTAGGCACTGGAAGACTGTTATAAGGTCTCCCCAGAGCCTTCCCCAGGCTGTGGTATTAAGATAAATCAGCTTTTGCTGTAACACATTTAATTTTGTGTGGCAGGTATAAAAAAGAAATGTAGTTTTAAACGTGTAGTTACTTAGAGGAATCAGTTTAGTTCCCTTGTTCTTCTTCACTCCTGGATGTGGTTTCTTTGCAAGATTGTAGGTGGGTCAGAATAAAACAAAATCATCATCCCTGTTACAGTTTAGGTGTGAAACAGAAGATACTGTTCTCAGTAATTTCTGTCCTGTTATGCACATAGATAAATATAGTTCTATTACTATATCTAATAGAATCACTCTTTTCTGGAAATCGGTGTAGCCATTTAAAAGATGAAATTTTAAGTTTTATTTTGATAATAGTGCTTAGTTTTCAGCTTTTTGAGACCAGGCTTGTTCTTGGAGGAGAGAGGGGAACGTGGGGCATGTCCCAGATCTGAGGCTGTTAAATGCATCAAAACAAACCACTGCAAGCTCTACTCAGCTCTCTTACTGTGGTGTGGAAGGTGGCTTTGCTGTAGGTGACTCTGCTTCCAAAGGGGGTGAAACCATCTTGACAGGTCAGTGCAGTTGGCCACTGCACTGAATTTGCATGACTGGTTTGAGTGGTCTTGGGTGTTCCCTCACACTGGAAGAGGATGGGATTCTCTATGGGATGTTTTCAAGACAGCTGTATTATAGGATTAATAAATATGACTTTGATGCCATTGTATTGGTGTGCTCTGAGAGCCTCAGAGAAAGCAGCTGCATTTGTGACCTCTGACCACTTACTTGCAGGCAAAGAAGAGCTGGAAATCGCCTTACAGAAAGGGGACCAAAGTGCTGAGTGCCACCAGTGGTAAGTAACTTCTTCCTGCTTGCTTTTAAGAACCACAGGATAAGGCCTTGGAGGTTGCTGTAAGCTGAGCTGCTCTTAGGACATCAGTGGTACTTTCTGTAAAAAGCCATCTTGAATAGCTTTGGTTAACTGGAGTCAGGGTTAACAGACTAGTTTGGTTCTTATTATAGTCATAGACTGTGCTTGTACCAGTTCAATTCTGAATGTCTCTGAGACATCATGGCCAGTTCTTTGGGTACTCAGAACAGCTTTTGTGAGGCTGCACCTCACAAGCTGATGTACTTTGATAGTGAAGGACGAACTTCAGACGAGGCTTGGACAAACAAGCTATTGACAGGATGAGTTTGGGATTGATAAGTACAGTGAGCTCCATGTGGTGTTTCCCGTGCTAAATTCAGCAGGCTAAACTGCAGATTCGTTGGGCTCCTTCATAAAATCATAGAATCAAGACTGGTTTGTGGTGGAAGGGACCTTAAAGCTCCTCCAGCTCCAACCCCTGCCACGGGCAGGGACCCCTTCCACGGGAGCAGCTCGCTCCAAGCCCCTGTGTCCAACCTGGCCTTGAGCACTGCCAGGGATGGGGCAGCCACAGCTTCTCTGGGCACCCTGTGCCAGCGCCTCAGCACCCTCACAGGGAAGAGCTTCTGCCTAAGAGCTCAGCTCAGTCTCCCCTCGGGCAGGTTCAAGCCATTCCCCTTGGCCTGTCCCAAGCCCCTCTCCAGCTTTCCTGCAGCCCCTTTAGGCACCGGAGCTGCTCTCAGGTCTCCCCTTCAGGAGCCTTCTCTTCTCCAGGCTGCCCCAGCCCAGCTCTCTCAGCCTGGCTCCAGAGCAGAGCTGCTCCAGCCCTTGCAGCAGCTCCGTGGCCTCCTCTGGACCCCCTCCAACAGCTCCATGTCCTTCCAGTAGCTGAAGCACGTTTACTTTGAGAAGGTGAAGGGCAGTTTGGTTAGCAGCTTTCCTGGGATCATGCAGCTTCCCTTTCCAAAGGTGGGAGGGGATTCTTTGCACAGCAGCCAGCTTTAGGTCTGTGCCTGTGTGGGATCCTGCAGGCACCTTGGCACAGAGATATGTGGAACTCCACCAGCAGTGCTTCTGGTTGTGCAGACTCTGGGGAACAGCTCCCAGAGCAGCCTGTTCCATGCAGGGTGTGGATGGGCTGCCAAGGGATATGTTTCACACAGATAACTTGCAGAAATCTGCTTCCTGAGTTGGAGAGTTTGCTATGATGGGGCCCTCCTTATTTCCTTCCATGAGCCTTGTTTCCTTTGGCTCCTTTTCAGCCCCCTGTAGAGCAATGTGTGCAGCCCCCAAAACCAAGCTTGTAGCTAGCTGCACACAAAGTCTTGAGAGTTACATATTAAATATGAATGAGGTTTTCCCTTTGTGTTCCTCCAGTATTTGTGGGTTAGTTTGTTGGGGTTCATTCAGTTACTGCCATTTTGATAGTGCTTTATGTCAAGAGATGCTTGCTTTATATCAAGAGATGCTTGCTTTATGTCAAGAGACGATGTATTTGCCTCAGTGAGCTAGGTCTGTGAGCGTGGGCTCAGTGCTGTGCCCATGTCTCTATTCATCTTCATTCTGGAGTAAGGAGGAACATTAATTCTTCTCAGACAGCCTTTTATAGCCTACTGAAGAGTGTCTGCTTGCCTGCACTGCTGTGCTCTGTGTGGGGATGCTGTTTGTCACTCAGCAGAGCACTCTGGCTTTGAGGCAAACTGAGACAGCAGCAGATGGCTCTTTCTTTGTAAAGATAGTCTATTTTTTGCCATGCTAAATGATGAATTGATCTGCACTTCATCCAAGCAGGGTGTTCCATGTTCGTGTAAATCCTGCTGGTGGTGAGGATCTCAGTCAGGAGGTAGGCAAGGGGGCAGGTACCTTCCTCATTCAGCAGCCTGAGTGACCAGGCTTGGGTTGTGGCTCAGGTAGGCGCTGAAAGGATTCTTGTCCTTGCTTAAAAACACCCCAAAAGAGGGTTTGGAGAGGGGTTCGGATATCTGTATAGGTAAAGGAGCATCCTTTTGTGGTGTTCTGGTGAGCTCCTCAATGAGCAGTGTTGATGAGCAGTTACTGTGAAGGGCTCACAACACATAAAATAGAATAAAAGAGAAATGGTAATTTTTAGTGGAAATCACTGGGAGAACAGGATGCTGGGTATCTTCACTATGTAAGATCTGCACTCTTATGAGATGAGTGTATGTGTCTGGAGGGTTGGTTTGGACTGCTGGCATCCAAACAAATGCCTTTAGCATCTTGAACAGACTGTGTGTTCTAGCTCTTAGGAATGAATTGCTGTTCTCCATTTGATAAGAAGGAGGAATACTGGGACAGACAAGGTGACCCATCTCTAGCAGATTTTGGTGTGTGCCTTTGCTGGCTTAACGTTTTGAGGGAATGGGGTTTTAGTTGTAAGGTTGTCTTGAAGTGTGTAAGCCACAAATGCTGGATCTTTCATATTTTACAAGGTATAATATTGATAGTTCAGCTTTGGAATTCATCATTTACAGGGGGCAGAAGCAGTGGGTGTTACGGGATGTTTAGTCATGGGTCTGCAGTAGAAAACCCTAAGCCTCTGGAGCTGGGATGTCCTCAGTGCCTGTGTTACACCCTGTGCCCACCAATTCCCACAGCAGTTTTGGTGCAAGAGGATGCAGTTCCTGTCCTGTGGGACCCATTTCTTGTCCAGCCAGGGGAGAGGCTTCTGCACATCTACATCTTGCTTGTAACTCGGGAGAGCAGCTGCAGAAAGGGCAGCTGGAGGAAGGAACCAGCAGAGCAGCATGTGGGAGGCCTGGAACGGGAAGGGAATATGTAACTACCTTTACCAGTCACAGAAATAATGATTTCTGCTGTAAACGGAACAGGAAATTATTCCCTTTCCAGCTCCGTGTGGCTCATGGGATGGTTACAAGCTGTTTTAATTGCAGGCTTTTCTTATGCTGATTGAATTTACCTGGAGAAAAACACTATTGCTCATGAAATGATGCCTTGAAAGATACATGCATACACATACATATGTGCACACACATATATACATATATATATGTGTGTGAAAAATGTAGGATAAAACATGGTTCCAAAGGACATTTTCATAAGGAGTCAGTTTATTATCTTTCATCACCCATGTTACCTTTCCTGGATTTTTCTCCCACCTCCTTTTTCAGACAAAAGTACAGGAATTCCTTGCAGAGCACAAGTTGTGGGAACAGCAAGGATGTGTGATGCTAATGTGATGATCCTTTTCATTCTTACTTCCACATACAGTCGTGAATATTGTCTTTCTCTTTTCCACAACATCCTAAATGGGCATTTTAATAGAAATATCCCAAGTGATTTTAACATCTCCCCTCTGTGATAGGGGTGTGTGAAGCCTTGTACAGGTATTATAAGGGCTGCATTTTTCCTCATTTCATGTTGTCTGTAATTTTCTATCAGTTGCCACTTATGGATTACCTGTGATGCAGTTGTGCTGGTTCTTGTGCTTGCTCATTGCTCCCTTTGCTGTGTGATTTGCTCCTGTTGCACAATCATTCCCTGTTTGTTTGCTCTGAGGTGTGATGCTGGTCGAGCAGGACAGAAGATACTTCACATGCAGTCATCAATGCAAGTAAAGCTTCCCCTCTTTCAGTCCCTTCTAGTCACTGCAGTAATCAGTGACATTGTAGAGCACCAAATGAAGAAAACAAGGGTGTGAACAAGAGGGGTTTGTGAGTGCTGGCAGTGGCAGTGCTCTGGGGAGCATGACCAGCTGCAGCTTCAGGGGGTTTTGTGGCTGGCTGCTTTGAAGGCTCTGGCAGCTTCATAGTGAATGGTTTCTACAATGACAGAAAATCACTGGAGGTCTGGGACTGTGTGTGGACTGGCTTTGGGAGCTGCCCAGATGTGGGGGAGAGCCCTTTGATGGACCTCCTGGATTGTCTTGACAGAGGCTTGGTACAAGGCTCTTCTTGTGGTCGCTTGCTTCATGGAGGTCAGTGGGTGCCAGGAGACCCATTGCTGCAGGGCTGGGCAGAGCAGTTAGCTGTGGTGTGGTGGGACTGCCCTCAGCTCTCCTTTCCTGGGAGGCACTGCTTAGGAATACAGGAATATGGGAGAGGTGTGCTGGGGGTTTGGAGTATTTACTGCCTTTAGGATACATTTGTGTGCTGTACGCTGATTGGAATGATGCTGAGTGTTCTTAATGCCCGTGTTATCCTCTCTTATAATCACCTGATTCTTACTTTTGATATAGACAAAGTCATTCTCTGCTTTGATTGTAGAAGATCTCTGAACAGGTATTATGTCCCATTGAAGTGACTGCTGCCTGAGCTGATTTCAGCTCACGAAGAGGAGCACAGGGCAAACACTTGTTCAGGTTTCTAAGTCTGGTCTTGCTTGCTTTTAGGGGTGGATAGAAGAGGCCTCAATCGTTGCACAGACCTGTGTGCTTTGCTGCTTCGACTTCACAGATGAAGTGAGAGAAGCAGTTGTGGCCTCATCAGAGTTCCCTGTCGTTGCAGTGGGGCTGTTTGCAGCACAACTCAAACACGTACCGGCAGCTCTAGGGATCAGGCAGGGGTAGTGAGCTGTGTGTTTGCCTTGGCTGCTGCTCCTCTTGGTAAAGAAACAGTGGAAGTGCAGCCAGAGCAGTGAGGGATTTCAGAGCTCCACTGGGGGGAAATTTTGCAGGTGCTGCTTTAGCAGCTTTTGTTTGAGTTGGGTATTTCCCATTGGAAATTCAGTGCTATTTTCTGACTGCTGAAGCTGTCACTGCAGGTGTAATAAGCTTGGCTTTCCTGATGATATTCTGTATGTTATAGAGAAGCAGGAGAAGGATATTTTGTTGGGTTGGATGCACCTCCAAAATGCACGGTCTCTTCTAAAGAGCCTGTCACTTTGGAGAAGCATCTTACACACTCAGTAGTCACTGAATTGTGCATCAGCCCTTTTAACTTCAGAGAACCCCAGCCTGGTTTGGGTTGGAAGGGACCTTAAAGCTCCTCCAGCCCCAACCCCTGACAAGGGCAGGGACCCCTTCCACTGGAGCAGCTTGCTCCAAGCCCCTGTGTCCAACCTGGCCTTGAGCACTGCCAGGGATGGGGCAGCCACAGCTTCTCTGGGCACCCTGTGCCAGCGCCTCAGCACCCTCACAGGGAAGAGCTTCTGCCTAAGAGCTCAGCTCAGTCTCCCCTCGGGCAGGTTCAAGCCATTCCCCTTGCCCTGTCCCTACAGGCCCTTGTCCCAAGCCCCTCTCCAGGTTCCCTGCAGCCCCTTTAGGCACTGGAGCTGCTCTCAGGTCTCCCCTTCAGGAGCCTTCTCTTCTCCAGGCTGCCCCAGCCCAGCTCTCCCAGCCTGGCTCCATGGCAGAGCTGCTCCAGCCCTCACAGCAGCTCCATGGCCTCCTCTGGACTCACTCCAGCAGCTCAACGTCCCTCTAATGTTGAGGGCACATTGTGCCACCGGCTGCTGCTGGTACATCTGCCTGCCTGTGGGTAGATACCGGTTCTTTGTAAAGTGGTGGCATTCCGGATATGACTTGAAAAGATGGCAGTACTTCAGGGTTTAACTCTGTGTTGTACTGCCCAGGTCTGGCCAATTTGGGACTGTGTCTGGGTTTATGAGCTGAGCGTTCCTCTTCAATGGATGGATTAAACACGGGAGTTACTTTCAGTATATATTAGGGGCAGAAGGAACTATACAGCAGATCAGAACTGGTGTTAGAAGATAGTTCTGAAGTTAGAGGAGGAAACATAGCATGTAGCTGGAGCTGCCTGAGAGCATCCGTGACTGAGGAGGGTCCCTCCCTTCATCAGGGGTGTTGGAATCCTGTTCCATGTCCTGAGCCACCCGGGCTTTGAGAGTGGGAACACCAGAGGAAAAGAAAGTGCTCGAGAATATGAGCAGGGACAGAAGGAACCTCAGCAGGGATGAATATCCCTGCTCTTGGAAACAGTTAAATAACTTGACATTTACAGTCTGTTGGGCATAAAGAGAAGTGAGACCTGGGATCTTAAGAGTTCAGTGTGTCAGTAGAAAGCTGTTATAGCACAGGTGACAGTGCTACAGAGGTGGCAAACAGCTCATGCACTACAAAGGCTTCATTCTGGAGCTCTTCTCATCAGTGTTGGTGTGGGTGGCACCTTCCTCTGGAGCAGCAGTCGTTCCTGCAGCCTGGGTTTTATAGTTTGGACATCTTCTCAGCTGTGTCCTAACTCTTTGCTGGTAGCTCTTGGGAGAGCAGCTGAGGCTGCATCTTCTGAGTAAAACCAGAGGTTTAAACAGGCATGAGGTCACTCCATAAAAACAATGTGCTCTACACAATAAATACCATTTGTATCTTCAGACCTCTCTGGGGATGAATACATCTTGTTCTACAAAGAGAACACACATGGTCCTTTCCTGCTGCCTCCCAAGGCAGACCAGAGATCTTCAGCAGATAAACCCAACACAGACAGTGAGCAAAACTGAACACTCAGTGTGCGTCCCAGCTGAGGTTGCCAAAGAGGATTTTAACTGGTTTAGGAGGAAGGAGAGGCAGATTTCAGTGCTGGTCCAGAAGGGGATGTTCCAGCCTTTCTTTGCTGTGCCAGTTGTTTGCATTTTGGCTTAAATCACTAAGTCTGGTTTTATCTGTGTGCCTGAGTAAACTCCATAGTAGCTAACATCATTAACATCATTTGCCAGGTCTCCTTTGAACCTGAATATGTTCCTAGGAATGAATTTTAAGTGATCCTCTGCCTCAAACCGGAGCTGGTACTGGAATGACTTCTTCGTCTATGTTGGGCTCTTGCTTTCATCTCGGTATATCTTGGCCAAAGTGGAGCTGATCCCACCTGGAAAGTGGGGGCTTTGCTTGGGCAGCAGCATTTGGCTGCTCTTGTAGAGCAGCAAGAGTCACTGTGACTTGCTTCTGTTGCATCTTGTTCCTGGCTCCACCGTTGCAAGGCCGAGGAGGGTGTTACTTGGGGGATGTGAGCCATAAGTTGTGCAATAGGTGACACCTCCCCCCCCCCCCAACCAGGATTGTTTCAGTTGGAAAAATGAAAGCTGTTTTCCTCTAAAACAGTGAAAACTTTCAGGCAATATGAGGGGATCATCTGGATGGCAGTGAGGTAATGTTCATATTGCTGTAACAGTGGCTCTTGTGGATGCTACTCATGAGTCAAGCTCACGTGAGATCCCTGCACTTGTGTAAGGCTGAAGCCATGCCCAGACTCATGCAGAGCACTCAAGGGAAGCCTGCAGAGAGCTTTTTGCAGAGGCTTGCTCCCAGTTGCCATATTACTTCAGGTAGAACCATGAGTCCAGCAAAACAGCTGCTTCTCCCCATTTCTTTTCCCTCCTCCCTTTCTTCCCCTTCTGTTGAGTTCACTGGTTGTCCCATGCAGGAAGGAGCAGCAGCACGCTCAGCTACCAAGCCTTTGACACAGTTAACAGAGATAAGAGATGTGTTTGGGTTGGCAAACCACCCTGGCCATGGAGCTGGAGATGCCAGGGCTGGATTCCATGTGCATGTCCTGCTGTGATGGAGGCAGCCAAAGGGCACCATCAGGAATGAGGTGTCTTCAAAGCTGCATGTTCTGAGCTCGGGGGTTTAAGGTGGAAGAACAGACAGTCTCTCATCTGGTAGGGTCTGCTTCCATGAGCTGATTTACTGGTAAATGGGGAAATCCTGGCTGGGCTGAGATTCCAATGGGAACTTGCAGTTTGACCAGTGTCTGCAGTGTAATGAGTGGTTCTGGTTAATAATTAGTCAGGTGAAGTCATAATAAAAGGTTTTGGTAGCTGCTGAGACATTGATTTGAACAGAGCCCCAGAGGTTACGTGGTGTTTACAGATGAAAATCCTCTTCCCTAACTCAGTGCTGTTAATCTGTTATTGCTTGTCAGTCCTGCAACTCCACAGAGCCTCCTGTGACTCTCATCCCAAGGCACTTCCCAAATGGATTAGAATAAATAGCTCAAGTAAGCCAAGCTAAATGAGCAGAAGGGGTGGAAGCAGAAAACCACATTGGTGCTGCTGAGGGAGGACAGGAGGTCAGGGTCTGAATCAATCACAGAGTCACAGACCTGGCACAGGGTGCCCAGAGAAGCTGTGGCTGCCCCATCCCTGGCAGTGCTCAAGGCCAGGTTGGACACATGGGCTTGGAGCAAGCTGCTCCAGTGGAAGGGGTCCCTGCCCATGGCAGGGGTTGGAGCTGGAGGAGCTCCAAGGTCCTTCCAACACAAACCAGGCTGGGATTCTATACATTAAAGAGGCCTACATGACTTATTGTACAGGAATATTGTACCTTGTGATCTTAGGAAACAGGCCTTTTATTGGCTTCTGTTTCTAAACCCCAGTCATGTGGTGAGGGATGTTTAGCACAGTCTGATGCCAGTTGTGAAGCAGAACTGGAGCAGCCCATAAAAACACTTACTTCATCCTCTGCAAGCAACAGGTTGTGACAGAGCAGCTCTGAACTTCTTCAGCAGGGGGAAAGGATTTTACCCAGTTAACACATTGACCTGGTGATCTTTGCCATTGTCATGGAAAAATAGGAATTTTAAGGCTGAACCAGTGCTTTTGCACACAAAAAATTAACATGTTAAAGGCATGAGCTTTAACAACAAATATGACAGTAAATATGACAGTATTTAGGAGATGCACTTTTTTGTATAGCAACTTACACATTGAACATTTAGTTCAGACAGAGCCGTGAGGTGTGAATCCATCTGTGGGGTTTCTCATGACACTGAAGATTCAAAAGTCTTCTGGCTAATTCCTGCATGGACATCCCTTAACCATCAGCAGGGATGCTTTGGGATACAGTGTGGTGAGAGGAGGCAAGAGCACCCAGCAGCGCTGGGATGTGGATGCAGTAAACGAAGCCTCCAGGGAGGTCTCCTCGCATCTTTCTTTTCAGCTTTATTTTTGTAAGGACAAGACCTGTGGTATTCATCTGTCCATCCATGCCTCCCATGCCAGGCTCTGAGCACAGCGGGGAGCTGCCTCCGTTCCCACAGGTCTCACCTGGGTGGGATGGCAGAGGCCAGAGCCTGGAACGTGGGATCCTGTGTTCTCTTTAGCAACGGTGCCCTTGCACCTCCCTATGATTTGTTGTTTCCTGGGGAGCAGAGCAGGGAGGGAGGGGGTTGGAGCTGCTGTGGGGCAAGGGGAGGAGAGGGGAGGGTGCAAATCCACTGATAATGAACCTTCCTTAACTGTCACAGCTCATCAGAGAACTGGTTTGCAGGGACTGGGTTTCTCAGGGTCACAGTTTAGGGTCTCTTGCTACACAAAGCTGAATGGCCTTGCACTTGCAATGCTGAAAACATGTTCTTTTGTTTCCCAAGCTTGGTGGCCGTGTCAGGCTGCAGGACGTGGGTAGGTTTCCATGGTATTTTCCCTCTAAGTAGAGACCTGCTGTGCTGTAGATGGGGTGTTGTGTATGGACAGTGGCTGTGTGCTGTAGTTAGCATAGAGCTTTCCATAGTCCTGGCTCTCGCTGCTGTAGCCCTTACTCATCATTGCTTCGTGTTCTAACACAGTTTCATTGCTAAGTGAAGAACTTTAGGGTGTAGAAGCTCCTGTCATAGGTAGAAGGAGGACTCCTCAGCCAGAAAGCAATGAGTTTGTGTCACACCAAACCACTCCTGTTGACTTGCTGGCATCCTTCAAGCTAATACCTTCTTGGCACTGAATACTTATGCATAGACCCTTCCCTGAAAAAGGTGCAGAGTATTCCCTGTTTTCCCCAGTGCAGCTTTAATGCCCATAGATGCCTTCCTTCTGAAGATACCAACAGGATGTAAATGTACATTTAAAACTGATTTGCTGCAATGTGTCCCCTGTGTAGGTATGCTATTCTCTGCGGGCAGCTGTCAGAACATGAGAGTATCCAGAAGCGCATTCAAACTGGATATGTGTTTAAGGTGAGTAGAAGGGACCTGCTGGGTGTTGTGTAAGTGCTGAACAATACTCACTTCTGTAATAGAAAGGTAGGAAAATTGGCTCCAGGTCTTATGAAGGAAGAGATGGGTCTCAAAGAGATCCTGTGGGTGGAGGGTTTGGGCTGAAGAGGTGATTCCGGCAACGTGTGATGAGGGGGCTGCTCTGCCTCCGCACTCTCCCACACCAGAATCTCAGAAAAAGGAAGAACAAAAGTCTTGCAAACAGAATGTACCTGTACGATGAGGCAGGGAGCTTGAAATAGGAAACCACCATGTGGTAATGAAGTACAGCACCAGCTCTTCTGCAGTAACTGCCTGTGAGCACGCTCGCACCCTCCCATATGTGCAAAGTTATTGTTCAGAGAGGGTTTAATCTGCCTCAGAATCCTTCATTTGCTTTCACCCCGAGCAGGGATGTTACAGGGTGAGAGGGTGGAACAGTTACTGCAGAACAGGCCTCATAATTGGTATTAGCTCCTCAGTGATTGATGTGACCGGTAAGTTGGTTATGTCAGAGCTCTGAAAAGGTGCTAGAACAAAATGAAGGGCAGCTTCGTCCTGTTGTGTGTAGGAATTCTTGTCTCTGAGGCTGGTGAAATGCTGGGTTTCTGGGTTCACTGAACCCATTTTAAGAAAACCTGGGATCTCGTTGTAGCTGTGATGTTATTGATCACTGACACTTGCGTTGTGGATTTAGAATCAGAATGGTTTGGGTCAGAAAGGACCTTAAGATCATCCAGTTCCAACCCCCACTTCTCCTTTTCCACTTTCCACATGCTTTTGTCTGCTCTTGTGGGGATTGTATTTGATTATAGCAAAAATGTAATGTGTGTTGGTGGTGATTTTCCATAGGAACACATCGATAAAGCAATTGAACTGAAACCAGAGGATCCACAGTCTTACTATCTTCTGGGGAGGTGGTGTTACCAGGTAAAATAGTTCTGTATTATGTACTGCTGTTTCCTTCCTCCTTGGAATTGAATTCCCTGTGTGAATGAGAGAGGGGTGGATTCAAACCAGCATCCGTAAGGACTGAGGACACTCACAGCTCTGAGCTCAGATGCTGTATCAGAAAGTAAGGTGTGGAAATGCTGTAGTTGCTTGAAGAAGTAATTTGGGAGTTGCACTTGTGTGGGAGCTTAGAAACTCTTCAGTCCTGAGGCAGTACCAAGAAAACCACTCCACTGATGGGCACTATTTATACACTGCATTCAGAAACCCCTTAAGGTATAAAAGCTCATGTTCTTGTACATGTAGCACTGCAATGCTTTTATAGCAGCACTCTTGGAGGTGTTGTTGCCAGGCTGCTGTCATTCAGGATCTCTCAGCTTTCCATCTAAGTTGTTTTCTATCTGTAATCAAGGAGTCTGCAAGTGCAGCAGGGGGGGAGCTGCCAGGGACTGGTGCAGTGGCAGTTTTGGACCACTCGTGCTGTTTCACGTCTGTAGTAAATCAATTGTAGAGACAAATCTAATGTTGACCATTATGCACGTGGCAGCTGACGTATGGAACTGCAAAAGCTGCCTCAGGACAAGGAAATCAAATCAGGTTTAATCCTGTGGTTGGACTTGGAGGCACATCCAGAATCTGCCAACACTGCCAGCATCTTTGGCTTTCTCAGAGGAGAATGGGCCAGCTCCAGGGAACTGGATAATTCCTTGTCTGTACTTCTGTGTATGCTGGGCTCCAGGGGGGTTCATGGCTTCATCTCCCTGTTCTGGCAGGTTTCACACCTGGGATGGCTTGAGAAGAAGACAGCTTCTGCTCTGTTTGAAGCTCCTCCAACAGCCACTGTACAGGACGCGCTGCAGAACTTCTTACGGGTAAGGAGACCTGATAACCAGGGGACCCCTGCCCTGGCAAATGCAGTCACAAGTGGGGAGCTGGGGTACATGTGTTCTGCTTAAACCCATCGCTCCCAGGTTGCCCAGAGAAGCTGTGGCTGCCCCATCCCTGGCAGTGCTCAAGGCCAGGTTGGACACAGGGGCTTGGAGCAAGCTGCTCCAGTGGAAGGGGTCCCTGCCCATGGCAGGCAGCTGGAAGTGGATGAGCTTTAAGCTCCCTTCAACCCAAACCATTCCCTGATTCTCTAAAACTGGAGGAAAAGCTGGTGAAAGCAAAACCTTGTGGAATAACCAGACAGAAGAAGGTGATTTTGAGGTGGTCACAAAGGTTCAGAATTGTTTTTAAGGGGTTTTGGTTTTCCTTTGAAAAGCTGCATAGCGCAGTGATTCACTGCTTGAAATGCATATGGTCTGTACTCTTCCAGGGTCTGTAGGATCTGCTTGAGCTCATCCCTGGGAACGCTCCCATAGATGTGTTCTGTCATTTCAGTGTCTCTCAGAATGTTTTCTTGAAAGGCTGGTTAGGTCAAACCTCTCCATCTCAAGCTTGTGAAGACAAAGCCTAACTGCTTTAGGCTTTCAGGGGCTCCTTGCTTATGGAGCTTGGGGAAGAATGGCTCAGAGCAGCTTCCAGCCTATCTGAAGGGGCCTACAGGGATGTTGGAGAGGGACTCCTCACAACAATAGGACAAGGGGTGATGGTTTCAAACTGAAATGGGAAGTTCAGGTTAGATCAAAGGAAGAAGCTCTTTCCTGTGAGAGTGGTGAGGTGCTGGCACAGGGTGCCCAGAGAAGTGGTAAATGCTCCACTATAATTCCATTTCTAGGAAGGAATTCTTAGGAGTACTTCCTGCTTGTAGGAATCCTACTCTGAATGGGGTTTGGGGGGAATGGGGGTGTTTGTTCTCTTATTCATGGAATCACAGAAGCTTTGCTGACCCAGCCAGTCAAGTCCATGGATAGTTCTGACACTGAGCTAGGTAGCTACAACAGTAGGGTTAGCCAGCTGGGTTTAAGAGGTGCACTAAGGCTGCTCTAAGCATTCACTGTGTCCTTTGCACACCCCAATGTCTGCTTTTCTCTGCCTGTTGCACCCTCCCCTCTCTTCATTGCAGGTTGAGGAGCTGAGCCCAGGATATTCCAAGGCAGGAAGAATGTACATTTCCAAGGTAACCAATCACTTGTTGCTTTCTTTACATCAGTCCTATCGTATATGCTCCTAAGGTGAGAAATACTTGTATTAAACAATGGGCTTTGACTGTAACCTGTTAAGCATGTGTAAATTACTGCATGCAGCAGCAAGGCTTTTTAAGATTATAATAGGCCAAATCATTTAGTGCAGGGGCATTGGAATTCAGGGAGGCCTTTGCCCAACGGAGCATCCTGCTTGGGTTTTAGCACATCTAGTTCTCTATGAAGTGTCACTGGTAATGTGAAGGCCACAGGCTGGAGGTTTAATCCCACCAGCACCATGGGCTTCCATGGGGTATCCAGGAAATCTTGGGGAAGAGTAAAGGGTAAAGTGTGTCTCTGTTTTACCAATAGGAGTGGGAGCCTTGAGTGATGATTAAATGCACCACGAGTGCCTGGAGCTGGTGCTCCAAAGATCTTTGTTTGCACTGAGGGAATAATTGGGTTTGAACTCTTGAAACGTTCAAATTGCTGCTTAATTCCTCCAGCTGGAGTCTGGAAATACTTAAAGCTCAAATAGCTTTAGAAATACTATCCAGAGTGGGTGTAGGAGGAGTAGCTGCAGTCATTCTCTGTGACGTTCCCAATGTCCCAGAGAATGGGAGTTTTACCAGGGTAGTGTGTGAGTGGTAGGATCTGCTTGGTCTGGAGCACATTATGACAACTCTCAGTGCAGAGCTTACATCCCAATAAGCATCTTGTTAAGGGAGGATAAAGGTGATGGAGGAGGAAAGCCCAGCAAGAGATGTAGTGGATTTACACCAGCTGGGTGTTGTCTTTGATACACTGCAGCTCACTGTGTGTGAGAGGGGTTGGAACTGGATGAGCTCTAAGGTCTCTTCCAACCCAAACCAGTCTGGGATTCTGTGATGGTGAGACCTGTCAGACCTGTCAGTATTCAGTGGCACAGTGCAGTGACCTCAGGTCCAGCAGCCTGGGGAATGTGAGCTGTGCTCCATGTAGAGGTTTTATGGTGGAGCGCTGTGAGGAATAGGGGCTATGTGGAAATGAAAACAGAGCTTTGAAAATGGTAAAAATCAGAGGGACACCTTAAAATCTCCAACCAAAAAGCAATCTCCTTGCCTAAAACAACACAAAACTGCCCAAAATCAAGCAAACCAAGCACAAACCCATAATCTGCTGTCATTGGAATGATTTGTGAACAAAGGATGCTGCAGGACATGTCAGAAGCCCGAAAGCACACGCTGCTGATAGGTAAGAGGCAGAAACAGCGCTCTCTTTTCTCCTCAGTGTTACAGGGACCTGGGGAACAAAGCCGCAGCCGTTCTCTGGATGAACCTGGCTTCGGAGCTGCCGGTGAACACAAAAGAGGTAACGGGCCCAGTAACCCCCCTGCTGATGAGCAGGGAGCAAGTGCTTACAGAAATAAAACTGTTCCCAGCGTGCAAGCCCGGGTTTTAAAGTGTTTTCTTGTCAGAGCAATCCCAGGCCCAGCTCCAGGCTGGGCAGAGAAGAGATTCAGAGCAGCCCAAGGAGGACTTGGGGGTGCTGGTCCATGAGAAAATGAACATGAGCCGGCTTCAGTGTGCGCTTGAGCCCAGAAACCAACCCTATCCTGGGCTGCATCCAAAGGAGCGTGACCAGCAGGTCCAAGGAGCTGATCCTGCCCCTCTGCTCTGCTCTCGTGAGACCTCCCCTGGAGCATTGTGTGCAGTTCTGGTGTCCTCAGCATAAAAAGGACATGGAACTGTTGGAACAAGTCCAGAGGAGGCCACGAGGATGCTCAGGGGCTGGAGCAGCTCCTGTATGGAGATAGGCTGAGAAAGTTGGGGCTGTTCAGCCTGGAGAAGGCTGCGTGGAGACCTCAGAGCAGCTTCCAGTGTCTGAAGGGGGCCTATAGGGATGCTGGGGAGGGACTCTTCATTAGGGACTGCAGTGACAGGACAAGGGGTAACGGGTTCAAACTGAAACAGGGGAAGTTTAGATTGGATCTAAGGAGGAAATTCTTTCCTGTGAGGGTGCTGAGGCACTGGAATGGGTGCCCAGGGAGGTTGTGAATGCTCCATCCCTGGCAGTGTTCAAGGCCAGGTTGGACAGAGCCTTGGGTGCCATGGTTTAGTGTGAGGTGTCCCTGCCCATGGCAGGGGGTTGGAACTGGATGAGCTTAAGGTCCTTTCCAACCCTGACTATTCTATGATTCTTCCTTATTGCGAACACTCTTCTTCTCTTGGGACTTGTGATCTCAGTGCCTAAAGCAATTCAGCAAATAGCAAAGAATCCTAAGGAGCTGAGTGTGTCTGATACGGGTTTAGCAGTCCAGCCCCCACTGTGCAAGTCCTCTGTTACTCACAGGGTTTGGTTATGGCCACATCTGAACACGCAGCATGTGTTCAGCACTGGAGCGTCTCCAGAACTGCTGACTGCTGTGGTACTGATCCCAGTGCATGGGTTCTGTGGAGGGTTTATTCTTTGGGCACTCCTGCCTGGGCAGCTCGGTTCAGAGGGGAATGCTGGAGCCGAGTGGTTGTCCTAGGGCTGGAGCAGGTATTACCTGCTGAAATACCTAAAGGAGCCTACAGGAAACCTGGAGAGGGGCTTGGGACAAGGGGAAGGGACAAAGGCCAAGGGGAATGGCTTGAACCTGCCCGAGGGGAGACTGAGCTGAGTTAACTGGGACTTGGATGAGCTTTAAGCCTCCTTCCCCGCAAACCACTCAGGGACCCTGTGACTCTGCAGCATCCTCATGCACCTCCGTGTTTTAAGGCCATAATGGACTTTTAGGTCACTGCAGCGACAGGATTGTGCTGAAATTCCGGCAGTGAAACATCACGGGGGAGATGTTGGGGGGCACCTGGCAGGGAGCTGGCGTGGCTGGGCTGCCCCCTGCAGGGCACTGCCCGCTATTGCACAGAGCGCTTGGCCTCGGGCGGCTGGACCAGGGGAGTGAGTGGAATGCATTCCCTTCTTAGGGAAGGGAGCAGCCAGCCCTGCCCGATGGGGAGCTCCTTCCCCTGCGCTGCTTGGACAGCTCTGTAGACTGGGTTAAAATGCTGTGGCTGAGAAACAGAAGGAGGATTTTCCCCCAGAGCACAGGAAATGTGTATTGGAGGTGTCATCAGTCATAAAAACACTGGGATGAAAATCAGGAAGGACCAGGAGAAAGCTACAGGCAGGAGAGTCCTGAACTGTTCATTCTCTCTGCTCCAACATCGCACGTGGGAGTCGAGTAAGAAGCCAGTGCTCAAGTGGCTGTGTTGGGTCTTTGCGGATGTTACTTCTCCATCAGTCAAACAGCTCCCATCACGCTGGGAAGGGAAAGCAGAGGGGCTCCAGTCTGAGCGAGGCAGTGAGGAAACCTAAGAGAAACCCTCTTTGGTACCTGGAAAACTGAAGTAAGCTTCAGAGATGTGAGTGTGGAGAGAGAAACGCAGGGGAGAGGGGCAAAAAGAGGCATTAGGAGGAAAGGGTAAGGCTGGGGGTGTCCTTAAAACCTTGTGTGGGCTGGGAGAAGAAAAGGGAAATGCTCTGCTCCATCATTTCAGTGGGGCTGTGTATTTACCTGTTCTTGCATTCCCAGGATGCAGAGAGCGAGAGAGACCTTGAAGAGATGCGCTCCGCCTGGGAAGAGTGAATGTGGAAAAGTCACCCCACTTGGTACTGCACAGACGGGAAAACCCCAGTCAGAGGGGTTCCATGATCCCGACCTTCCCTTCATGGAGAAGCCACCGGAGTTTATGGGAAGAGCCATGCAGCAGCCTCCCCAGGAGGAGCTCGTGGTGGGATGTACTGGGATCAACTTGTGTTCGTTTCCTTCTTACAGCACTGACCACGGTGGATTTTCAGACTCCTACAAACCGTCAGATTCCTGACAAGAGGTGTGTGTGCGTAGGTAGAATCTGTGATATAGGATCCGTGTGCTTACGTATATCAGATATATGTGAGATACTTTGTGATACAGAAATGCACACAAATCTGTACCTGTTTACATCTACACTGATTTTATATCATGAGCTCTACCCCACAGCCTGCACCTGAGGCCTCCGCTGGTGCCTGAGGAAGGCTTGGGCCAAATTGTCCTTCACATTCCTCTTTTCTCTCCTCCTCACTAACGTGGAGTGATTGAATCCGAGCTGACTCCAGGCCCTCCCGTGCTCATGCTTGGGTGAGCTCACATTCATTCCAAGGCTCTGTGCTCGGTTTTACCAGTGTGATGCTGCACTGGAGGCCGTGGATGTTCTCACTGCCCTCAGCCTGGGGACTCAAATGGGCACTGAAGCTGTGACTGAAGAAAGGCCATAACCAAAAACCCCAGACAGCGATGACTTCCAGTGAGTGAGTTGTCAGCCCCCGTCCTTGCTGGGAAGGACTTGATGGTGGTGTCCCAAGCCCGTCAGTCCTTGCCAGCCCTGCCTGATCTACCTTCCTGGTTTTCCCCTGGGGCAGACCAGCCCTGCGTGCTCTAGGGAGTTATTACTGGGGACCAAAGAGCTTTCCTTCACAACCCGAGCTTTATTTCCAAGAGGTGCATAGCTTTTGTCAGAGCAGTGAAGCAGTCGCATTGCTCCCAGTGATGTTACCCCACTCCCAGTGATGTTACCCCACTCCCAGTGATGTTACCCCACTCCCAGTGATGTTACCCCACTCCCAGGAGGCTGAGAGCTTCTGTCCCTCTGATCTGTGCTGCTTTGGTTTGGATGTGATAATGGAGTTTGAGAAGAGCCTGTTTATCAGTGACTCGCTGGATACAGGCACGGAGATGTTCTGTGGCAAAGCTGATGCTTCCCTGTGATGGTCCTGAGCGAGGAGGTGGCAGCAGGAAGGTGAAGCCCATGACTGACATTGCCTCTGCCAGCTCCTGGTACCAAACAGCAGCAGGAAACTGGGGGAGCAAAACCTGTGCTCCAAGAGTTCCCTGTGTATTTAGCAAGGCTTCCTTGGTATCCCCTTGAACCCCAGTTGGCAGCTACCCAACACTAATGTCTGTTGTGTCTTGCCATGCTCTGTAATGTGTGCAAAGTGTAGAGGAAACTGCTGCAAGAGTAAAGCATTTCTTTAGTCCCTTGCACGTGTGTGTTAACCCAATGGGGTTTTACTTGGTGAGCGTAACACTGAAGGGGAAAGGTGGAGCAAACAAGCTTGAACCCTTCCCACATGAGGGGTGTGGAAAAGCGGGGATGTGCTGGGCTCCTGCCTGGCTCCAAGCTTCACCATGGAAAGGCAGAGCGGTAACTGGGAGCCAGTTTATCAGGGGCTGGGGACTTGGTGGAATCACTTATTCCCCCCAGAGTAGACTTGTGCCCTCCCCAAACCATCGGGACCCGTGGCACGATTGATGCTCCGTGTTCCATCTCCACCCAAGCTCCATCTCCCTCCTTTCCCCACTGAGGGCTCCCTCAGCGCTCCTGGTTTGTGAGAGCCTGGCCCCACACTGCAGCTTGTCCCTGGCATTTGGGTTCAGGGTTGGAGGGTGTTTTGTGATCAGGTGCTGGATGTTGGCTGAGCCACAGCAGCTCTTGGTCCTGAGCATCCTCACCTGCAGCATCACCTGGGTGCGGAGGTGATGCCGTGGGTACCGGCCGGGCTGGGATGCAGGGATGAGCTGCCCCAACCCGGGTTGGATGCGCTGCAGGGCAGCACCCACCTGTGAAGCAGCGACAGCTCAATTGGGTGCCCAGCAGTGACAAAGGGGTTGTTTGTATGAGGAGAGGAGGGGTCCCCCTCCTGCAGCTCCCCACAGACAGGAGGTTTCACACTGGGATGTTCCCATCAAGCCTCATTTCCCAGCGATGACACTTCCTGATGGGCTGAGGGAGCTCCAAGGGAAAAACCTGCCCAGGGAAAAGCATTGAAAGCTATTGGAAGCAAGCAGTGATCATTACTCCAGCTATCAGTAATTAGTTCAGCCAGTACTAATTAGTTCAGCAATTAATAATTAAGCTGTTTGAAAAGAAAACCTGTATCTCCAGAAAAGGTGGTTTCTTCTCCATGTTTTGGGTTTAAGGGAGGAAAAGGCAGCTCCTGCCTCATTTGAAAAGCTTTGATTTTGTTACATAGCTATGTAATTTTATATAGAGAGATGTATTTTAATATACGTATAGAAAAGTACATCATTTTAAATTTAGATGTAGCTTGATAGATAATAGATGGATAGATAGATAAGATAGATATTGATAGATAGATAGATTGATAGATAGATAGATAGATAGTGATAGATAGATGATAGACAGGCAGACCGATGGATCATTGTGCAGAGGAGCAGATCCAGTGTGAGGGGCTCATTTCCCCCTGCAGCTGCGCCAGCCTCCAGGCACGTGCCTGTGCTCACCTGCACCTTAGCTGGGGGTGAATATGGGCGTGTGTCAATAGAGACATAGGAACCAGTGTAATGTGAATGCAAATAGGAACAGGAGCACATAAACCTATACCTATAACTATGTAAGCATAAACGTGAACATACGGAACTAGGCACATACAAGTAAGGCTATATAGAGATACAAACATGTGGCACATCAACTTATAACTAAAATAGGAGCTCTTTTATTTTGCCCTGCTCTCTTCCATCTCCTCTCCTCCATCTCCACTCCCTCTCCCCTCTCATTTCCTCTCCTCCACCTCCTCCTTTCCTCTCCTCCATCTCCTTTCCTCTCTACATTTTCCTCTCCTCTCCCCTCTCCTCCCTTCCCCTCCCCTTCTCTCCTCTTCTCTTTTCTTTAATTTTACTTTTCTTCAATTTTCTTTAGTTTTATTTTCTTTAATTTCCTCTTTTCTTTCTCTTTTCTCTTTCCTTTTCTCTTTCTTGTTCTTTTCTCTTTCCTCCTTTTCTCTTTTCTTTCTTTTCTTTTTTCTTTTTCTCTTCTCTTCTCCTCTCCTCTCCTATCCTCTCCTTTTTTCTTTTCTTTTTCTTTTCTTTTTCTTTTTCTTTTTCTTTTTCTTTTTCTTTTTCTTTTTCTTTTTCTTTTTCTTTTTCTTTTTCTTTTTCTTTTTTTTCTTTTTCTTTTTCTTTTTCTTTTTCTTTTTCTTTTTCTTTTTCCTTTCCTTTCCTTTCCTTTCCTTTCCTTTCCTTTCCTTTCCTTTCCTTTCCTTTCCCTTCCTTTCCTTTCCTTTTCCTTTTCCCTTTCCTTTTCCCTTTCCTTTTCCTTTTCCCTTTCCCTTTCCCTTTCCCTTTTCCTTTTCCCTTTTCCCTTTCCCTTTCCCTTTCCCTTTCCCTTTCCTTTCCTTTCCTTTCCTTTCATCTTCCCTCGTCTTCACTCATCTTTCTATTTCTTCAGTTTCCTTTAATTTGCCTTACTTTTCTATAATTTTCTGAAATTTTTCTTTAATTTTCTTTTTTTTTCAGCTGTTCTCAGTTTTCTCTAATTTTCTTCAGGTTTCTTCAATTTTCTTTAATTTTCTTCAATTTTCTTCAATTTTATTCAGTTTTCTTAAATTGTATTTATTTTTCTTTTTTCTATATCATTTGATAGTTTTCTTTCATTTTCTTTTATTTAAATTTTCTTCAGATTTGCTTGTTTATGTTTAATTGTCTTTAATTTTTCTTCATCGTTCCTTGGTTTTAGAAGCATAGAACCATAGAACAGTTTGGGTTGGAAAGGACCTTAAGATCATCCAGTTCCAACCCCCCTGCCATGGGCAGGGACACCTCACACTAAACCATGGCACCCAAGGCTCTGTCCAACCTGGCCTTGAACACTGCCAGGGATGGAGCATTCACAACCTCCCTGGGCAACCCATTCCAGTGCCTCACCACCCTCACAGGAAAGAATTTCCTCCTTAGATCCAATCTAAACTTCCCCTGTTTCAGTTTGAACCCATTACCCCTTGTCCTGTCACTACAGTCCCTAATGAAGAGTCCCTCCCCAGCATCCCTATAGGCCCCCTTCAGACACTGGAAGCTGCTCTGAGGTCTCCACGCAGCTTCTCTTCTCCAGGCTGAACAGCCCCAACTTTCTCAGCCTATCTCCATACAGGAGCTGCTCCAGCCCCTGAGCATCCTCGTGGCCTCCTCTGGACTTGTTCCAACAGTTCCATGTCCTTTTTATGTTGAGGACACCAGAACTGCACACAATGCTCCAGGGGAGGTCTCACGAGAGCAGAGCAGAGGGGCAGGATCAGCTCCTTGGACCTGCTGGTCACGCTCCTTTGGATGCAGCCCAGGATAGGGTTGGTTTCTGGGCTCAAGCGCACACTGAAGCCGGCTCATGTTCATTTTCTCATGGACCAGCACCCCCAAGTCCTTCTCCTTGGGCTGCTCTGAATCTCTTCTCTGCCCAGCCTGTAGCTGTGCCTGGGATTGCTCCGACCCAGGTGTAGGACCTTGCACTTGGCATGGTTAAACTCCATGAGGTTGGCATCAGGCCACCTCACAAGCGTGTCAAGGTCCCTCTGGATGGCATTCCTTCCCTCCAGCGGATCAACCGAACCACACAGCTTGGTGTCATCGGCAAGCTTACTGAGGGCGCACTCAATCCCACTGTCCATGTATGTTACAGTACGTTACCTTCCATAATTACATCATTATTCTGCTGCGTTGCATTATTACACCGTGTTTTCACATCCCGTTATGTTCTGATACCACCCTACATTACATAATTACATTATTACATTATCGTGTTGTCACTTTTCCTCATGTTAGGATATGCTATTCCATTTCCCGACATCAGGTTACCTTAGAGCTGCATCCAGCTGCTCCTCAACCCCCTTAAACTGGATTGTTTTCTTCAGGACAAGGTGAACCACCCCCAGGAGGGGCTTTAACCCCTTTGCAGGCTCTCCCTCCCCTCACCCCCCTCCTGCTGATCTCATTTTCACCTTCCCTTTAGCCCTCC